AGGTCACATTTACTCTTTGTCCAGAAAAAGTAGCCTCACCTCGTTGTTAATGACACTAATAGATTTATTTAACTGAAATGTAATGCATTTAGCTGAAGGTTCCCTCGACCCTGGCTAACTGCTTGACTAACATGTCCCCACTGAGTGCTGCATCAGCAGTCTGTCAAACATGATCCCCCCCAATATCAGATCAGCAGCAGAGATGCAGATCAGCATCCCACTAAAGTGAGCCCACTTACAGCAGAGAGCAGCAGTTTGCTACAGCCCGAGACAAGCAGCAGGACCGCGTCCTCCAATAACAATAAACAAGCCCTGCTGCTGTGCCAGAAAACAGGCTCTGATTCATATTCATGCCTTCACAATGCGCATCTTTTACGTTCAACTATTATGACCGTGTAATAAATGGCCAACTGAAGACGAGTAGCAGCACCATAAACCAAAGGGCCCTTTTGCCTATGAATATTAATATAATTCTTAGAGCCAGAAAGATGTTAGCAGTCGTGGCGTTTCACTGTAGACTTCCATCACATTGTGTGTTCAGCCCGATGGCAAAAACGCACACAAAAGCTGAAAAATGGATGAACTGTTTGACGGAAGCATGTTTAATTTATTAAGTGCTGTGTAGTGTAAAGTAAAAGGTTGTATTATACATAACACTTTACTTGACGTCAGAAGTGACACTGTGATATAATTAATTCATGTCATTAGGCTGTCCTCATCTTCCCGTGTGTGCTTGCATCAGGTAGCTGTCGTGCCCTTCCTTGTACATGCTGAGAGCATTATGTATTCATTGGCTTGCTCTTTTCCCCAGTCCTGCAGTTTTACTCTAGTATTTCCATGATCCGACGTCAACCACTCAACTATTTCAAACAAGGCTGATACAGAACAAATATCAGCGTTTCCCCTGCCGTTTTAGTGTGATTTCAGCTGGTGTTAGAGCATACCCGGGCTGCTGATCCACTGCTATCCCCTGTCTGCTTCAAAGGGAATGGGGAAATAGCGCTGCAAAGGGCATCGCTCTGAATTCCAGCTCCGACTTGGTGCGTGCCTAAGGCGCTATGGCAGGGCTGAGGGAAAGCTGCAGCCAGACTTGAGAGGTGGAACGGGGGCTTTCAGCTGGATTAATGCTTTTCATGTGTGCGTTCTCCCCCCATCCTCACACTCGCTGCTCTTCATTCTGATGCGTACAAAAAGGCGGTATGAAAGATGTAATGCAAAGTTAATGAATTCTAGTTTGAAGCTGAATAATTTATGGGGAGGATGTTGAGTCATGGCAATCAAGCAATGGCAACTTATCAGAAGTCAAGCTCCTGCTTCCAATAAATACCCCAGGCCTTCACGTTTCAGTACTACAGGTGTAGGGTAGACGTGGACTCTAAAACAGGAGAGGGTGGATTGGGTTTTAATAGTTCGCCAGATTCTCAGATATGGATAAAGGCTTGCCCTTGAATGAATTATACAGTTAATGCTGATTCCTGACCACAAGTCATATTTAAACCAAGACCAGGCAATCTGTATGTATGAAATCATGTCTTTAGCTTGCGTTTGAGTCTGAGAGAAACTGACAATAATGAAACTCAACGAGTATCTGTCGCCCACACCGCATTCTTCAAACGACTTGCCTTTAGCCCAATCTGAGAAGTGATGAAAGACCTTTTCAAATTGCCAAACTTGGAATTGCCTTGGTTTCTCATGATAATTGTTTTATTGCTGTCATTACTCATGAGCGGCTTTGTGTTGTAGAGCCATGACTTATAACCGCTAATCCCTGCCTTTTCATCTGTCGACTTCACCGCAAGAGTACAACTGCCTTTGCTCTTATTGGCTGGGAAAGACATCAGGGTTTCTCCGTCCGCTGTCAGATGTACCAGCCAATCTGGGGGCTTGCCATCTAGACATAGCCGGCCAGTCTTCAAAACCTGTATATAGTCACCATCGGAACAAAACCTTGTATCTGTTTTTGTCATTTTTTAACAAGATTTTAAAACACCAACAGTCCTTTATGGTGTGCTAAAATGTAATGATGAATGGAGCAGTAGAAATGCCCCAAAATTACATGGAAAAATATCTTCCATTGACTTCCATTTCTAATTTTGAATGTTTTTGCTTCTCCTGTAAAGTCACCATTTTGGAGACATGGGATTTTGATCCCTCATCTTGTCTGAAATATACAGCTTTTATATCAAATCCTCAAGATTTTATATCAAATATCAAGATCACTTTTTCGCTCTGTTCTTGCAGACCTACGATGCAAGCTGTGTCATTTGTCAGATCGTCTCTGAGGCAGATCTGTACAATCCACCTGTCCTGCCATCCCAGAATGACCGTCCTCTGCGTCTCTATGGTAACTGGGTTAGCAGACGCTGTGAGGTCCGCCCAGGGGTCCTCTTCCTCACCCGTCATTTCGTGTTTTATGAGGACAGCAACATTTGGGAAGGTCACTACTATCACTTCTCTGACCCGGTCTGCAGGCACCCCACTTTTAGCATCTCTGCGAGAGGACACTACAGCCAAGGAGTTCCCTCCACTGTAGTGATGGGGGGCACCGAACTCACTTTCACAGGTAAACCATAAGTGGTTTTGAACCTGTGTTCTGCTGCTGATGCTAATGATGAATGCTCAGTTGGTCTAGCTGTGCTCCGCCCACAAATGCATTCTTTCATAGCAGCTGTTGAGAGGTTCAACAAGATTTACAGAACATTGAAAAAAATCTCATGCAAACCAATGAGAAATTGTGACACATGGCTCTGTTTCAGTAAAAATGTCTAAATTTAGTGAGTTATTAATTTCAAGTGATATTTATTTTGTCTGCCAATGCTCTGTAAACTCTTAGGATCTCTCGTAGTGCTCTTAGGATGTATCAAGCCATTTTAGCTTTTAATACAAAGTTTCCTCAAGAAGTCAAAATGTTCTTAATACTAATAAAAAATACATTTGACATTTAACGAGTTATGCACAGAGCCCTGAAGTGACATGGTAATTATTTTTAATAAAGCGTGGCCACAAATTAATATATTGAGGCCGTAAAATAATATGTAGAGGGCATGAGTTATGAGAAACCTAATTTGTGGCCTCAATATAGTAATTAGTTGCCATGCCTTATTAAATATAATCAGTGTCATCTAAAATCAAATTTATAGAATTCTGTTTTAGCAGATTTCATTTCCTGTTTCCTGTTCATTTTAATGGGAAAACACGTTTTTACTTTATTTAGTTTTTAATTAAACATTTACATGGGGTGATTCAGTTTTTAGGTAAATTTTAATGTGGTGTTGAAAATAAAATTACTGCATTCAGTTCTGCAGATTTAATTCTTATGTGTAAAGAAGTTTTTTGACATGTATCTTTACATGTAACAATTCAGTTTCTAGGAGTATCAAATAAGTTGGATCATGCAGTAATTAGAATCAATTAATAAGAACATTTTAATTAATAATAGTATAAAAGATCCCTCCCGTTAAAAAAAAATTGAATTCTTTCTAGTGAGAAATTTTGCACATTTCATTTCTTTACTTGTTCAAATTCAGTTTCTGATATCAAAAATCATGGATTTAAACCTAAAACAAATTTCATACAGACTGGGTGCAGTTTCTTCTCTATCGCGTAATCAAGCTAATATTAGCATGGCGGCAAAATGGTTGTTTTCCAGCCTGCCTAGTTTCGATTAGCTACAGCACCACATCTCAGTGTTGTAGCCAACTGAAAATAGAAACTCAACATAGCAAACTTAGTGTAGCAAATCAAAACTCCAACAAAAATTCATTAGGGTGAACTGGATTTTTGGCAAAGTTCTTCGGAGCTTGTCCTGCCTCGCAGCAGTTGCTACGAAAGAAAGCAATTATGGGCGTTGTACACACACACACACACACACACACGCACGCAAACACATTTTCAAAGCCTTTTATCCTCCTGGGTCTTGATGTCCTTAAAATGCTGACTCATTTCTCCATCTTGTTCCAGTGACCCATATGAAGGTCACTCCCATGGACATGGCCACTACTTCTATATTGAATGTCTTCAGCGGGGACAAGTGTGGAAAGCAGGGCTCCTGGAAGCTTGGAGTCCAGCAGGATGTGACCCCCACCCTAGGCTGTGCTGCCCTGGGCATCCGTTTGCCCCACACTGAGTATGAGCTCTTCCGCATGGGGCGAGATTCAGCTGGACACAGCCTCCTCTTCAACGGCCAGAGACCCACCAACGGCTCGAGCCCAGACCAGCCACACAAGCGTGCCACATCCTACCAGCCTCCTCTCATACACTGCATCTCCAGTCAGAAGGGGTCTACAGGCATTGGTAAAGAGGGTGACCATCACTTCAGACTTGGGAATGGATACAAGACACTGGACCAGCACCTAGTATTCATCATCGTGTTGGTCAAACTTGTCTTCTGGAGCATTTAGGATGATATGGGGAAATTTTTTGGGGTGTAGTTTGTACCCTAGAATGCTGATCAGGGGTCAGTTCTGTCCTTTTGCTCACTGAGAACTGATCTTGGATACAGATCCTTTAACTTTTCCTGAACCGCAGGACTAATTCTATGACATTGTCATAGATACTGTGAAACTACTTCAACATGGGACAATATGTTGGGTTTTTTAATGTTGTAAGAAAAAAAAGATTTGTGGCTTTACTTGAACACGTCCAGATGGAAGCAGCTTGGGACTATTTTATAAGAAGGCTGTATATTAAGGTGAAACAGTTGATGGTCAAGTGTCGTAAACATCCTTGCTCCAGAGGAAAGTATGCATGACACAAAGAAATGTTATCACATATCCTTCCTTCCATTATTGCAGCTACTCTTTCAAATGTAGTTCTGAAATAAGAAATTACTCACAGCTCTCCCCGTTCTTTACCTTAGGCAAAGAACACACACTGCGAGGTGTGGATTATTTATTATTGATGCGTAGAGAAAAAGATTTGCCCAGACATTCATTTGTCGTTTGCCATCCACAGCATGCTTTTTATCATGTGAAAACATACAGAGACGCCAAACACTGAAATGAGAATGTTAAAGATTTTATTTAATTTTCATTTTTCTTGTTTCCTCAAATGTTAAATACCATAGGACAGGACTGTAAGAGTGGTGATCTTTATTCAGTCAACAGTTGCCTCACAAATGAGTATATAATTTGCATAAAGAAAAATCTAGTAAGACTTGACATAACTGTAAGACGTGTGTGTTTGTGTCAGGTGACTGTGGGAGAAAATAATGTACATGGAAGGAGGCACATATTTCCCAGCTGAGTTATCAACATTCAAAGAAATAAAATTATTTTTAATTTTAAGATCAATTTGACTGTCAAGAGACCATTGAGCAATACGTAGCAATGTCTTTTTTTCCTTTTTTGAGGTTTCCATTTTCTTAAAAGGATTAAAATAACATACAGTACACTTAAAACATTTCATTCAACTCTTATTAAAACCACAGAGAGAAAGAGAGAACAATTTATTTTATTTATTCATCATAGATTTCTTTTTTCAAATTACCATCAAGGTCTCTACACATTGCCTCGATCTGACTGTAATTGATGTTTAGATAAATGTACAGTTGCTGCCCCATACCACCCTTGGAAGGAAAACAAAACAAACAAATAAACCACACCCAGCACCACAAAAAAATAACAGAAAACAAAAAAAGAGGGAGACTTTGTTCTTCTCGTTTGAGTGTGTATGTGTACTAACCGTGTGAGATTGCAAAAAGGCAAGGCCTGTTTGAATGATTCTGTACACAGACGCATTTTTTCCGCCGCCTTAGGCCACACTAGCACTGATGCGACGCTGAACGATAAGAACACACGCTTTGCCCCTCAGACCCAGAAGAGACTGGAAGGAGCTGGGCAAAACAGATGCCTTTATCCTATAACACAAACTTCCCAAGGAAGAATCCAATGAAGATGGCCGCAATGACCACGAGCAGCGAGGGGAGCGATTTGGAACTGGTTTCCTTCCTCATCATGGCTGCTGTGTTCGAAACCATGTTGTCCGACCGCTGGGCTTTCCTCATCCGCAGACCCTCGTCCTTATAATGAGAAGGATCAAATTACACATCCAGAACCAGAAGAATAATCGTACATTTCTCTGGAATCACCTATTAACTACATGTAGATGTTTCTGGGTAGTTTCTGTTGCTGGTATAATAAATGTTTTCCTCTATGTCTACATTGTCTACTGTGTTTAGAGCTTCTTTAGTGTACCTTAAGTTGCCGGTTCTCATCTGCCAGTTTGCTCATTTCTGACTGCAGCCTCTTGCACTCCTCCATCAGCTTCCTCATCTCTGTGTCATCCAGGGACAGGCTGCTGGACTTGGCCCCTGATGTGCTGTCTGCCTTGGAGGTGTTAAGGACCGGTGCGGCTTTGGTCGGGTCTACGTCATTCTGTATGGGACAGACACGGAAACCTTTACAGCTGCAACTGTGGATGTTTAACAGGTAAAACAAGTTTACTCAAAATACAACCTTGATTAAACAGCAAGTTCAGTTCAATGAGTGTTAATATGGAGAGTATCTGTTTCTGTGGCATTTCCACATGGACATGGTTCGACGCAGAACACTTAGGGCACAGTTTCCCTGACATGCTAAGCTAACCTTGCTCAGGGCCACAAAACTGTTCGGTGGGAAGACTTAATGATGTAGCTATTGGCTGACTGATTCTACATGACTAATGACTGATGCAACCTCATCCTGCGTTATTTCAAAACCAAAAACAAGTTCAATTTGTTTACAAAGTCATCAAATACATGTTCAATTTGTTCAATAGAAGCCAATGCAACAGTAACAATTGCTAAACGTTAGACAGTGCAGCTACCGAAGAGAATGGAGCTGGTTAGTATTAGCTTTGCATAATAACAGCTCTGCTCACCACAGAAGTGGTTCAATTTAGGCTAAAAGGCTAAGCAGACAAGTTTAGATGATAAGGACAAATCTAAAGAAGCAAAGCAAAGCAGCTAGTGTTGGAGTGACAGAAAGCAGAATTTAAACGTGTCACTTGTTCTTTAAATTTGTAGCCTGCTAGCTAGGCTAATGCAAGCTGGCTCCTCTCTCCTAGTTAGCAGTAATTCTAGTTAGCTTAGTTAATGGGCTACACATCCAAACTGTGCCACACACAACAGTACAGGTCTGATTCTGACTAACTGGTGCTCTGCTGTTAGTGTAGATGATAAAAACTCATGTCTGAGAGCAGATCAGGCAGCAGGGGTTGGGGTGACAAAGATTATTTCCGTGGTGTTTTAAGCAGTAGCCTGCTGGGCTAAGCTACGGCAAGCTAAATGAGCAGGCAAAAGTGCCACTCACAGTACAGGCTTGGTTCCAGCTAACTGATGCTCAAATAAAATATGTTTAGAACATAAAGACTCATATTGGAGAACAGAAATCCGAGTGACAGCCAGAATCAAATGTGTTCTGTGGTGTGTGTAGCTATTAGTCTGTTATCAATCACTGAGCCACTGTCATGTGTAGTTTTTCTGCTCCCAATTTAACAGCACAGAAGACAAGGGGGGGAAAAAAACGTAATTGGTCTCACGAGTCCGCACCAGGACGATACAGCATAATACAGCCGTGGGAACTATTTGGCTCTACAGTGGAAGTTAGGTCTACGAAACCAAGTTAGTTTGGAATTACATGGGCAGAATGAAAGCAGTAGGCGAGGATTTTAACTGCCAATGTACATTTTCGTATGTCGTAGTTCTGACTGAGGAATTTCTTCTAGTTCTTTTCACTTATTTTGATCTGGTATTTGGTAGTGCTGACTGACAAGATTCAGCCAGATCTTTTTACTTTTTTTTTATTTGAACTGTTAACTTGATCACCTTACAGCGTGAGCAATGCAGTTTTTGCTTTTCTTCTTCAATCTCTTCATCAGCCACTGACTGGCAAATAGAGAACTGCGATTTCTGAAACGCAATTCCTGCATTTCGGATTCCAAATGAAAAATGCAGGAAAAAGCCCTAAACCATAAACATCATTCTTTTTTCAGACTCAGGACTTCTTTCACACTAAGTACAGCACCATTACTCATTATTATAGAATACCATGTGCAGACAGGCTCACCTGTTAATAAGTCAAAATATTGCTTCAAGTATTTTGTTCCACAAAAACTTGTGAACTTGCACTAACTTGGCTACCTCTCACAAACCTGACTCTGTCTATCCCTCCCTGTTCTCTGGCCTGGCCTGAAACTGGGCAAATGCTGGTAACCCATGTGCCTGCTTCCTATGGGGGTGCAGTACTCTCCAGGAGTGGGGGTGTCCTGGTAAGCCGTACAGCTCTGCAGCCTGGGAGTCAACCTGGCTACATGGGCACGCAGCTTTTGGGAGCTGACACCTGACTTTAAAAGGGTAAAGAGTGGAGGGATATACTAGCAACATGCATAACAACTACAAAAGGAGGCTACATTCTTCTCAAGCAGGTGTTTTACAAAGAAAATAGATCACACTGGTAATTTTTTTAGACAAGAATGCAACCAAAGTGCAATGCATGGCACATGTGAACAATAGCAGATGAAATATTACTTGTACAGAAAAAAATGTGACCTGTATATGAGGAAAAAGGAAATAAACTGTGAAATTGTTTACATAAAGTACATTTTATAAATATTATACTGAGCCAAAACGTGCTAAGATTAAGCTAAACCAGTATTAGTATTCTGTCAAGGAAAATAAAATGCTAGGCATTAAAAATGCATAGACGTAAAAACGTCCAGTCAGGTCACTGTCCCTAGTGAATGCAGGAAAAGCTTGAAGCTATAGTAGTGGATTAAGGAGAAAGTCTCATGGAGCATAGCAGATGCAGCAGGAAGCATAGAGAAGGTATTACATTTGAAGAAGCCATGTAATCATTCAAACCATTAAAATACCTGCACTTTCAAAATGCACATCTGCATAGTCAAAACCAATGTTTTAAAGCTTCGCTCTATTCTAAATCTTTTAATCTGTCTTATTCTATAGCCTCAAAAAGAACCTGAAACACCCGAGATTACCAAAGGAGAATATGTACCTTCACAGTGTGTTGTTTCAGAGAACTGATGCTGATAATCGGGTACCTCTGTCATGGGAATATGTAAAACCGGCATCTACAGCAGTTCCTGATTGAGACTTTGAAAATACACCTAGGTTGACTTTTTATGGGTTGTAGTCTGCTATATGTCCAAAAGTTTGTGGACGCCTATCGATTCTTCTGAAATTAAGGCTATTAATAGGTATTTTTCCCCCTTTGCTGCAGTAACAGCCTCTACTCTTCTGGGAAGATGTTACACTAGATGTTGGAATACTGCTGTGAGGATCTGATTGTACTCAGCCACAAGAGCATTAGTGAGGTTACTGATGGTGGACAATTAGTTCTACATCACATACGCCACTCCAGAGGTGGGTTATATGGCAAAAATATACCATTGTGATATTTCAAGAAATGTTGCTCTAAATCTAGTTAAATATGACTAATTTTGCTCTCTTTATAATGAAACATGCAGTTGGTCAGTGTTCTACAAGTAATGATGATATCCATATGTTTAGAAAAGCATACTGTATTGCTGTATTCTTAAGACAATGATATATATTGTCACATTTCCCAGCCCTACTGAACACCTACACGTCTTAAAGGTATTCAGATAGAGCTCCATCACTCTAGAGAACACAGTTGCACTGCTCCACAGCCCAATACTGAGGGGGGATTTATACCCTTCTAGTCAACGTTTTGCACTGGACATGGTGAGCTCAATTGCTGCAATCACAATTAAAAGGCATGTCTGGATACTTTTGCATATAGAGCGAGCGTTTTAATCCTACAGCTGCATTTAGCATTCTACAGGTGAATACTGTAAGGATTATAATGTCCGCCTTCTTAAAACTCAGACTATAACTATAGTTATGACTCACTTACTTATTGGTCACTTCATACTATAGTTTCGAATGAATGTGGGACAGCTTGGAATGACGAACCCCTCTGCACATTCAGTAGTCTAAATGTCATCTCCAATCCTGATTACCCAAGCTGTTATAAGAAGAATGCACACAATAGTACCCACCATTTTATCATTTTCTGAAGGCAGTTCAAAAACACATCTAAGCTTGGAGTCCATTAGGTCTTCTGGTTTTGCATCTTTCCACTATAATAGGAGGAAAGCAGAAAGCACATAAGCATAATGTATACATGTGTACTAACTGTACATCCGTATTTACCAACGTAGAAATCTCAAATAGACTCTATATAGAAATCCCTGATGGTACAGATTTGATTATCCTTTGATGCAGTAATCTTTAATGACTACATGCGATATCTTGAGGATCAATTCTTATAATTATTATTGTCAAGCAATAACCATGAAACAAAACATTTGTAGAGAGGGAAGACGGAAAAAAAATGAAACAAAAGTGTGGGAGAAGACGGAGCAAGAGGAAAGTGGAAAAAAAGATGGCCTTCCGAGATTATATTATTTTTTACAGGTCAGCAGGACCTTAACACTCAAGACCTGTGGGATGATGACGGCAGCATGAATAAAGTGTATGCGCTTGTACTACCCTCTGCTGGCTTAGACTTTAAATGCATCAAAAAAGATAAAGTTACTTCTGTGGACCACAATATAGAAAAACAGATGGCTGAACTCATGAAACATCACAGTGATACAGCCAAAATATGAGACATCCTTACAAGTGGTGACATAAACAAATAAAACAAATAAAATGCTTACCATTGCTTCCAAGTCGGTTATGTTGTTTGGTGCAAAAATGGTCTGCACCATGAATTTATGCTTGCTTTTCTCATTTGGGTCGTAGTCAAAAGGTTGCAGCATTACTGGAGTAAAGAGGAACAATCAATCAAAACAGTGAAGCTTGGGACATGAACAGAATGACAGGCAGGCCTTTGTAATAATCATATGTAGCATCAAAATTATTCTGCTCACCAACATATAGTTTGACAAAATGGAGTTTTAAACACCTCAGTGTCACTGCTGGACTGAGAATAATCCACCAACTAAAAATATAGAGCCAAGAGCATCCTGTGACCACTGATGAAGGACTAGAGGATGACCAACACAAACTGTGCAGCAGCAGATGAGCTATCGTCTCTGACTTTACACCTACAAGGTGGACTGACAAGGTAAGTGTGTCTAATAGAGTGGACAGTGAGTGGACACTGTTTAAAAACACTAGCAGCACTCCTGTGTCTGATCCACTCGTACTCAACTCGCCATCATCACATCGGTGTCACTGCAGTGCTGAGAATGATCCACCACCCAAATAATACCTGCTCTGGGGTGGTCCTATTAGGGTCTTGTCCATTAAAGAACACAGTAAAATGGGGCTAACAAAGCATGTGGAGAACCAGATGGACTGTAACTGCAGAACAGCAAAGTGCTCCTATTCAGCAAATGAACTTGATCAAATGGACAACGTTTGTAGATACAAGGAGGTGTAGCTGGTCAGTGTATATATAAATATTGTTCTTATTGTTTTACATATATTTATATATCTGTATTATCTAAAAGTATATATATATATATAAGACAATATGACCTTTTTATAATCTTTGGGCCGTATTACAGAAACATCCATACTTTTAACCTTATCTGTTAAGCCACAATGACAACTTCAGTTAAAAATTAATTTTCAGCAGTAGCTATTACAGAATAATGTTCCTAAGTTAAATATCATATCCACACTCCAGATTTTTAAAAAATTGTATTACAGAAGCAACCTAACTAGACAAAATCTATAAATACTATTAATAACACCTGTTTTAAGTTTCTATTTCTACAATTAGTCATTCTACTGCAAAAAAAAGTTAGTGTTTTTTTTTTTAGGAAAGAGTGTATAAGCAGTAAGCAGCATAACAAGATCACTGTAACTAGCTTACATTTATTTATCATGCAAAACAGCAGTTTCACTTGTGAGGGGTTTTTTTTTCTAGCTTTAAGGTTCAAAAAATCCCGAACACTGCAGACATGTTCTCCCCAGCTCCCTCTCACTGCATGTGTTAATGTCAACGAAAACCTCTCAAATAAAATATTATGACTAGACAGGGCTGGACTTGAGGCTGTATCTTAAGAGGAATAACATCTGCGGGGCTCACAGGCCAACTAAAGTGAAACTAGGGAGCGGCGACTCCCAAGTAAATTAGCAGGGGGCGCTGACAATTTAGTTAGATAAGATTCCAAAATGAACATATTTTGCTTCTGTAATATGAATTTGTGAAAAATATTTTCTTGACCTTGTCATTCTGTAATAAGGCCTCTGCTCTGTCAGTCAACTAGTCAAAACCCCTAACATGACATAACCTAAGACTGAAGTAGCCATTTAGAACAACAAAAAGTAATATTAAAAACGCAGCAGACAGGGTTTAGGAAAAGCTTTGTGAAATGATGTGTGACAGGAGATGGGGCTAACCAGAATATGTGTATAAATAATGCTTGTACATGTCTCACCAGAGATAATGACTGAAGCACCAGGTTCAATGATCCCACTGTTGGGTCGCACGCAGTAGCGACGTGGGGCTGTCGTCTTCACTTTGAAGCATACTTTTCTGTCGGACGGGTTCCGGAGCTTTAGATTGGTAGTCACCACATCTGTAAAGGGGCCTGTGGGCAGACACAAAACATCAGTAAACAACTTATTATTCTTATTCTTCAAACACCTTTTGAATAACATCACAATTAATCTGATCAGTTTATCTCAACTACATGTCAGACACCATGCTGTGCTGTATTCAGCTTATAATGGTTATAATAACAGACAGAGCAAGTAGCCTTCAGTAAGTGAGTAAGTGGCCTCCAGTCTGCCGTGCACAAAGCTTTTCGAAATAATGGACCATGTAAATGAGATCAATTTGTGCCCTTTAACTAGGCCTACGATTAAGGACTCGCTCAATAACACCTATAAGTGCATCAGAGAAAACAGCAAAAACAAACACAGCCTATGTCTTAGCAAGTGACTAATTTGAGAGTATGTAGCCTGTAATACATTTTGGACCTAGAAATGTTTATAACTGTGATGTTCTGTCTAAGACCATTAGTGCACACTTATAGTGTGGTGTATATTTAAAGAGACTCTCTGGCCAAAATGAAAAATTGAGCCAGTACTAAAGCTGTTGTAAACATGCCTACTCAACTCCTCCAGTGGTGCCGCAGCAGTCGTGAGTACGATTTTCCTATTTCACAACTAGAAAACCCCCTTCTTATGACTCATCTTGAAGGTGAGTGGAGCTTTAGAAAAAAATTACACCTGCTCTGCGATGGGTTTTGGTGAGGGCTATTTGAAATGTGCTTTTTTACCACCAGTTGACTAATGCAGAAGGAAGGAATACAGATAACATTGCTGCTAGAAAGCCAAATGTCACATCTGTATTAGCCTCTACATCAGTGGCACAAAAGTAGATCTCTTTACTGCTGAGGTGGGATTCATGTATTTGCATAATATGGTCAGAGAATGTTGAATGCTGATGGACGAAAACATGAAAAGGCATACAAAATTGTGAATTATGCCACACCAGTGAGGCTGAGCGATACAATGATGCGGCTATAGAATCTCGCATAACATGAGAAATAAAATATGAAGTGCGAGTGTCAGACTTAAATGCCCCTTTAACGGACGACCATGATGATGGCTGGGTTAACTGGACAGCTTCTGAATGTTTTGCTAGCAGTGAAGTCAGTGAATGTTACTTTCAGGCATGTCCAGCTCACAGATGGCAAACAAGAACCTAAATAACCAAATCAAAGCTCCTGTGCTATAATGGACCACGCTAGCCAGCAGCATCACATTTACTGAATGATCTCAAGTGCGAGCCGAGCTAAACAAACATGTCTGCGTTGGTTTAACGATTAAGCTGGACTGGAGTGGGCATGTGAACAGATCCCAGCGCTGTAAACAGTAGTTATGGAAGCCAAAGCTGTTAAATGAAATGTTTAGCTGCTAATTTCCAGCTTGGTAACGTTAGCCGTATTTCCTCAAGTGCCTTGTCAACTGCCGTAATGTAGCTGGCGAATCACACTTGCTAGCGTGGCAAGTGCAGAAGGGCACGGCGCCCCGCTGCGATCCCACAGAGCTAACGCTAACGCTAGCTAACATGGTCGATGATTAACCAGCGGGGTTATATTTGAAGATATTTAACTGTTCAACAGCTGCTCAGATGCACTAGTAAACCGGCGTAGCTCAGCGCTGTGAATTAGCTGTGGGTTAAGATCTGCTAAGCGGCTATACAAACAGTAAGTTAGCTAACCTAGCTAACTAACTACAGGCTGGAAACTAAAGCTAACCAACGAGGCTGAAGTCGTCTTCCTATTCGCCAGCTTCTTGTTCTTATTTTCCCGTTCCACCTTAAATAGTGCAGCAGTTACATTCTTACGCCTGAGGTGCCATTTAAGGTGGAACTGGGAAATTCGAACAAGAAGCTGACTTAAGCCTCGTAGCTAACCAGAGGCCTACAGTCGACACTGAGTTTAAAATGGCGGTAGTGGGTGGGAGATATATATATATTTAAGTTATATATACTGATGTTTTCAACGTTTATCCTCGGTCTGGTATCAGCTTAACCCCGAAAGGTTGTCAGCTAGTTAGCTGGCTAACGTTAGCTCCCGAGCCTGGAAGTAGATTAGCTTAGCCAGCTAACCGTTAGCGAAATAATCCTTTGACAGGCAGCTAGTCCACTCTCCGCGTCCAGAGCAGGACCATCTGAGGTCTTACCTTTAAACTTCAGGTCAGACGGCGGGTCGAGAATCAGCACTTGCTCCAGTTTGGACATATCTGCCTGCTGTTGGTTAAGCAGTGAGGGTTCCCGTGCCAAACGCCGGCGTTGATGTAGCAGCTGGCTGACTCTGTGTGTATGTGTGTGTGTGTGTGTCCGCCTAATCGGCGCTGAATCTCACTGAGTCACACACAGCCGTGAGCGCGCACACGAGCAAGACCGCGGCGGCGCGCACTGCGCTCTGCGCGATCCCGAGAGCACAGCGCTGCTCCAACAAACTCTTATTTTTCATTTTTTCGTCATTCTATATTTACATGAGATGAGGAAAGCAATGCGCTTTTTCTCTATTACAAACCTTTTACGATTTGGATTATTTTTGCCTTTCTTTTATGTTTACACATTTTTATTTCCCTTTTCTTTCTGTACTTTCTACAAAATATTATAGCATGTTCAAAAAAATTTCACATTTTAGTTTTAGGTTATTTGTTCTTCGGCATTTATTCACGGGGTTATTTTGCTAAGGACTCTTATTGTTAAGGGGTGGGCCTGTGTGTGAGAGTGTGCGTGAGCTGAGAGGGAGAGAGAGAGAGATGGGAGGTAAGCTATTAGATAAAAACTGCCTATGTGTGATGTAGCTGTGGCCAACAACAACTGATGATAAAGCACCAGGACTTGTGTGAAAGCTGCCATTCTTTTAATAGCGTTTAACGTTACATTGGTGTCAGAAGTAAAAAGTTTTTCTGACGGCAGACATTCTGACGATCTGGCCGCTAGCAGCTAAACTAAGCTACCTAGTTCTGATGAGAGGTGGAGCACTCTGTTTATGAGACAGTAGAAGAGGACAATAGTGAGTTTGCATCTTCAAGAGTGTCCCAGTCATTGGAAGTGAGTCATACCACCCTTGTGCGCCGTGAGAGAGCAGTGGTGGTGAAAGAAGAGCTGACATGGTGCCCTAGCCTGGAGTCAGATGCTCAGATGCTAGCTGTCATTGCGCAACCTTCCCAACTTCCATGACATCAGCGGAAAATCCGTTTTCAGATGTAAATAAGGATGGCAGCACCCATGGACAGAATTTAGCAGCAAACAGTAAGACTCTAAAATTATCCGGTAAAGCAGACTGGGAGGCTTTCCATGCTCAATTTGAACTAGTAGATTCTGTGAGTGGTCTGATGAACTGAAAGCCCTGTACCTGATGCTTTGTTTGACTGATGATGAATTAACTTGTCTGCTATTGATAGATCCTATAGAGAGAGAGAGCTGATTACAATGCATTGGTCGGGGCACACTGGAGGTGTTTTGGACAGAGTTTCTGGCCTGAGCCCCTTTGGTTTGAACTGAGTAACTGCTGAAGACAGGCAGGGGAACCATTAAGAGCCCTAGCTAACAATAATGAAACTTTTGCTAGACAAGCTTATGCTCACATGCCACCTCTTGTACAGAGCAAGATAGCATGAGACCATTTCATCACGGAACTGTCTCCAACTGAACTGTGCATCCACACACCTGGCCCACCCACAAGACTTGCCTGAGGTGCTGGAGAGAGAGTTGGTGTGACCAGCAGTTTCATGGTGCACAAATGTTGCCAGTCTTGCAGTCAGAGCTGTGGAGGAGTCAAGTGCGTCACCAAAACCAGCATGGGCGGAGGAGATCCGAGGGTTGGCCATACAGCCAGTGGCACAGGGCTGCTGGTGCTGGGTGTGCGGCCAGCTGGGACATCTTGCTAGGGCTTGTCAGCTGACCATACCTGCAGCCATACAGCCAGTGGCACAGGGCCACCAGTGCTAGATGTGCGGCCGGCTGCGACATCTGGCTAGGGCTTGTCCATTGGGGTGAACTCGGTGGAAAAGAATGCTAGTCTAGCCAAAATGAACAAACAGTGACCGTGGTGGCTCGAACCTACCTATCAGACACTATCTATCCACATTTCCATCAACATTGGAGGAGTTCCATGCATTTCTCTGGTGGACACAGGGTCAACAGTCCAAGTGGCCTGTCCAGAAAGGGTGCCAGCAGGGTTGGAGCTCCAAGACATGGCAGTTCATCTCCGCATTCTGACTGGTGAGCTAGCAATGATCATTAGGAGGGGATAGGTGATGCTGACAGTCGGGGACAAGAATATGCACTACTTACTCTGGACTTAGTCTAGCTAAAGTCCAACATGAGATGTGCATTCTGGGCCTAGACCTTTTAAGAAGCAAGTGGTGTCAAATGAACCCAGAGAGTGCCATGCTGGGTTCCAGAGGTAACTGTGAGATGTAAGAGGTTCCACCTCACCCAGGAGGAGGACACAGAGCTGTATGTGCACTGCTGTGACCACTGCACGGCAAAGAAAGGACTACCAAAGCAACCGCACGCCCTGTAGCACTTGTGCTGGCCGGGACAATGGACAGGCCTACCCCTGTTTATTTACATGTTGCTTTTAGGTTATTTGTTCTTCAGCATTTATTTATGGGGTTATTCTGCACAGGACTCTTATTGTGAAGGGCAGGGCTGTGTGTGAGTGTGCGTGAGTTGTGTGTGTGTGAGAGAGAGAGACATGGGAGCTGAGTAGCAAGCGAGCTAGTAGAGAAAACTTATGCTTATGTACGAAGCTATAGCCAACGACAGCTGATAATAAAGCACTGCGGCCTGTGTGAAAGCTGCATTTCTTTTAATATTGGGGAATGCTACAATATCATAACAGAGGAGAGTACCCTGTTCTTTTGGTTTTGTCCTTTTCCTTTATTTAGGAATAAGGAGGATGCTGCTCCTCCAGACCACAAAATAACTGGACAAAACTGGTTTTTTAACAAGTTCATCACAAAAAAACTGCAAGACAAAAAAAAACGGGGACTCTGCTGATGTGAGGAAAAACAGCTGCTCGTGAGCTCAGGGCTCCTGCTTTTAGAGGCAGAATGAAACAGAATTTGGCTCTCTTTGATTTTTCTGGGTAAATCTGTAGAATCAGACACTGATCATAATTTAAAAATATTGTTACATTTCTGTTTGACAGAAGGGAAATGAATAAATAACAATGTCAATCCAAATCATTTTGTTGTTGTTGTTGTTGTCAGAAGGCACACTTGACCAGTAAGAGCACTAAGTATCCTGTACGTTTTAGCAGCCCTGCTATTTAAAAGTAAGGTTTAGATTTTAGATTCTAGAAGTCAAAACAATATCATAGCATCATCAAACAGAAATCTCTAATAAACTTAAAGGTAAAAAATCAGAGAGATATCTATCCTTTTTTTATTTTGTTAAACGTTATCATACCGTTTCCTTTTTTCCAGTCCATTTCAGACATGAGCCCGTAGGTGGCGATAAAAACACAGATTTATTTTTCGCCATAAAGAGAAGGAGGAGGCCGCTGAAGACCCGAGTATGTCTTAAGAATATTTACTAGTTTACTAGTTTACTTTTGGTCGTCAGATTTCATATATTTCGGCGCTGTGATGCCGATATTTCTGAACATCAACATTTAACCTCAATTGACAACCAAGCGCCGGCCACCAACACTTACTGCACATGCGCACAGCGCACACTCAGTGAGCGAAAAACACACTCGCGGAGCTGTTGGGTTTGAACTGAGAGCAGACAGACGGATCCCTTTATCGCCTCGGTCTGACTTAGCCTAGCATAGCTTAGCTTAGCTTAGCTTAGCTTAGCCTAGCCTAGCCTAGCCTCGCCTCGCCTCTCTTCTCTTCTCTTTCCTTCTCCTCCAGCTGTTGCCTCTTCGGCACACACCACTTTTAAATGTAGGACCAGGACAAGATGGCGGGTACGTTACACATCATACAGAAGTTATAACAGCAGGTTAAACACCCTCGCTGTTTAAACCCCCTCCCTCTTCAGCCACAGCTCGGCTGGCTAACTGGCTATTTGAAGTTCGAGAGGAAACAAGCTAACCCGGCTAGCTGAGCCGAATTTCGGTCCGTGTCGGGACTGAATTTGCTGTTTTGGTGTGTTTTATTACAGATATTTCGCTGCTTCAGGACGAGTCCCAGGAGGAGATAGACGGATGTGAGTGTTTCAGATCCTCTGAAGAACCTCTGGCTGAACATTAGTTGTCATTCGGTAGTTGGTATGTAACTGAGTTGGCAGATTGACTCGCTAGCTGAAGAGCCGCTACACCGTGCAAACTTTGCCCGTTGTTGAGGAGCGCTGTCCGGTAATGTTACACACGGCGGAGTGCCCAGTGAAAAACAGCGGCAGTTTGAACTCCCTCTGCTGTGTGACTGTGTAAAGTTTTTATCTTAGCTATCGTGCTGGCTTATGATAACATTTTCTAACTTGTGTGTAGTAGGAGGTAGTAGGTGTTTTTCGAGTGGCACCTCAAACTCAAGCCGAAGCCGGCTAGCTAGCTTAGCCACCTCCCCAGTTATATTAAGAGTGCTTGGAAAAGCTTTCTAAAATGTAACTTAACCTCCTGGTGCAGTATGCTGTGAACTGCCTTTTCGAATGAGCTTTGTTAATTACTTGGAGTTTTATCACTTACATGTTATCGAGGTAACCGGCAACTAAACCGACTAGCTAGCTAACCTAGCTAAGTTAGCACTGTGATTTATTTGCAGAGTGAGTCTGCGCCTGTGTTAACTTAGTTAGCTTAGCTGTTTGGCAGAAATACTTGGTTAGATGCCTGTCAGCTCACAGCGAAGCAGGACTTATGAGTTAGCGAGACACTTGCTTTATCAGACACAGAAAAGTTGCCGATTCGGGGTGGTGAAATGGTTTTCACTAATGCTTTGACTTTTGCTTTTCACTTAAGTTAACGTCACGTTACTCATTTCTGGAAGGACGAGACACAAATGTCGTTGCATATCCTGTGAGATGTTTGAAAGGCATGAGCTACTGCTGCACATAAACAAGCATGGGTACAGTTGGCAAAAACGTCTCAGCTGGTGTCTGCTTCCACTGGTGCTTTTGTGACACTGAGACTTGACACTTAAAGGGGTATTCCTCCAATTTTGAAAATAATTTCTGAATAATTTAGCCCTTGAGATGTGAACAGAGTCCTTCAGAGTGGTTTGGAGTGAAGTGGTTTATTGTAGAGGAACTTAGAGGCTCTGATTTCTTTACAATGGTGGTGATAGGAACCAGGGGTCATGATGTCTACAACACAGTCATTTTATTTACTATTCAAAACCACCAGTGAACCTACACATGCCTTTTGAGTTTTTATATGTAACATTATTGATGGTAAAATAGTGGTAAATCTGAAAAGTTATATTTTCTTTGGGGACTACACTGTCTAACAATACCCTGCATGTAGCCCTCTGTGAATGGATTAAAATAAATGGATTCAAATAGATTTTAAACTAAAACTTTATCACAAAATTACCATACAACAGTGTGTCGGACATCAGGCAGTGTATACCTAACCATTTCATGTAATGATGTTCTGTGTGTGAGTTTTCAGAAGCATTAAACTCTTCAGACGTCTGGTTCCTATTGCCACCACTGTGAACATTTCAGCAGTTTCTTTAGAACGGAGCATTACGCACCAAACCATTCTGAACAACTTTGTTTACATCTCAACCATTTAATTATATAGAATTTTTTTTAAAAATTCATGTAGTTCCCCTGTAAGGTCATGTTTTGCGCTTCACCTGCTTCGTTATTTTCTCAGTATGTTCAGAAAAAATACATGTGGCATGTCTCCTCTTCCACTGTTCTGGCTAAATTTGTTGGTGGTCACACTCTTCATTCGTGGGTAAAGGTCTTCACCACTGCCAGAGCGTGTTTGGGTGGTGGGTCCTGCTCATTGTATTTCCAATGTTTCTAATAGTTGGTGTGGATGACTACAGCTCAGAGTCTGACGTCATTATTATACCTTCAGCCTTGGATTTTGTATCGCAAGATGAGATGCTGACGCCCTTGGGCAGACTGGATAAATACGTCGCAAGCGAAAACATATTTAACAGGTATTCCCATATTTGCATTAGATTTGTTATTGTGTACTGATCTTCCCCGATCTCTCTTCTGGTGTATGTTTACATCAATAAACTAGATTTCCAGTTATGAACAGCTGTCTGTCTGTGTTCTCAGAGAGAGGGAAAAAATCTTAAATTTCCCACTAATGTTAGAATGCCTTGCACAAATCAAGGCCAAAGTCAGTTGTTTTTATTAATGTGTTTGCATTAATTTTACCATTACTATGCAAAAGATGCTTGCCATGGGATACGCCGTTCATTAGTATTTCATCCACAGACAGATGGTGGCCCGGAGTTTGCTGGATACGCTAAAAGCAGTTAGCGAGGATGAGAGGGATTGTATTGCAGTGCTGGAGAGAGTAAGCAGACTTGCTGATGACTCGGGTGAGCTATGATTTGAACCCTGACACAACAGCTTGGTATTCTGCACCTACTTTTAAATATATTTTATATAATAAAAAATAAATAAAATTGTGTTTGTACTCATGTGTATCTTTCTGAGAAAAAAGATATGTTTTCGGAGTATCCTGTGCCCTTGCTGTGTCTCAGGTTGAGTTTTACAAAGCAATGCTCCCCCTTTGGCAGTACACCAAGACTGAGGGGGCCCATTAATGTTTGATGGGACTGGTGTGACTTATTAAAGGGTTTGCACCAGGCTGCCAGGAAATCTACAGGACCATGCTTTTAGGATTTGCACATACGGCTAACTATCTAACCCTATCCACTTACCTCTGTGATATGCCCTAGAGAGGTCTCTGATAATTGCTTGATGTCTTTGCTGGAGGGTGCACAGCAAGTTCATCAGGCTGGTTTGTGTATGTCTGGTAAACATGCCTTTTTATTTAGGCTTGTGCTACAGAAAAAAAATATGTTTGTTGTGTTTCTTAAAAATGCTTCTGATTTAGAGTATGTCACCAGCTAAAAATTAAAGAAATACTACTTTTTTCCTCTTCTGACATAATTGGGTTACCTTTGTGCGTGTCTGTGCATGTCATGCTCATGCACCTTTGGTGCTCACCTGACTGAAAGCACCCATGCTGCAGGCAGATGAAAGTTCCGCTACTGCACAGTTCCATTTGCCAAGTGGCAAAAAACAGCTCCTGGCCCTTGCTATGTGCTAAATCCCTAAGCACTGTGACTGTGAAATGTGACACTTTGTGTTTGTGGTCCTGTGATTAGTGATCTTGGTAAATCATGAGTAATATAGTAGACTCTCTGTGTCCTTTCTAGAGCCCACAGTTCGAGCAGAGCTTATGGAACAAATTCCTCATATCGCCATTTTCTGCCAAGAGAACAGACCTTCCATTCCATTCGCGTTTTCAAAGTATTTACTGCCCATTGTGGTGAGATACTTAGCCGACCAGAACAACCTGGTAAGTGTCTTTTGTTTATTTTCCATTACATATACGTGTGTTTTAATAGGAATGATTCTTTTACCATCAGCAGTCCACATCTGATACAGGAGAGTAAAGAAAATATTTAGTCGTTGCTAGTGTACCTCTGGGGCCTGTCTCATAAAGCATGTTAAACTTTAGATGAGGTTCCTAGTTGAAGCTCCAGCTACTAAACCTATCAAATGCCACCGTGGTTAACTTGTTTTATGACTTTTTGTCATAACTCAGGTTTAGATACTCAAGCTATGATTATTCATTGAGCTCTTGCACATGAAAGCGTGACATTTATAATAAACAGCCAAACATGGGTAATATGAGGAGTGTCTTCCCCAAAAACGGAAGAAAAACTCATGTTACATAGATATGTAGTAAGTACAGCATTGATGACATTAAAAAGCAATGTTGTAGCCACTGGCACTGCATTAATGCTATTGGATTAATAATTGCTGTGAGTTTTGAATATTTATGTAGGTGATTTTATTTACTCTGCTCAAAAAGTGACTCCACAAACAGCACAAAGAAAAAAAAAGTGACCTGAAAAGGACTAGATGGGTCAGATTCACAATGCTGTTCCTGATTGATCAGAAGCTTACCCTGACTGATCCAAGAGCTGAATTTAACCTGCCCTGGAGCAAGTTATCATGGTGAGGCATTCTGGCCAAAAGTGATTATGGGAGAGAAAATCCAAGATGAGATCAATATAAGCTTAAAGTTCACTGGCTAATCAAGAAATTCTGCTTCGTGAGACAGACCTCAGTGTACACAATGTGAGTATGTGAAATGAGAGATCATATTTTCTTACAAGAATGTGGTCCTTTTGACTAATTTGCATTGCAGGTTAGGAAGACAAGCCAGGCAGCCCTCCTGATGCTTCTGGAGCAGGAACTGATAGAGCGAGTAGACATTGAGAACCTTGTCTGTCCTGTCCTGGTAGACCTCACTGCTCCGGACAGCAATGATGATGTTAAGACAGAGGCTATGGCGGTGAGTCTTTAGGAGATATTTTTTAACTGTTTTAATCAGTTTTGTTTGTAGTGCTGCACTGCAGTTTTTTAGTGTTGAACTTATTTTATTTAATAAACAGATTATTTGTAAAATGGCACCCATGGTGGGAAAGGACATCACAGAGCGCCTCTTCCTTCCACGCTTTTGTGAGATGTGCTGTGATTGCAGGATGTTCCATGTACGCAAGGTGGGTGTCTCTGATTGTCCCTTTTGTGTAGACTCTTAGAATGAAGGCCAGTCCTTATTTGGTTGCTTTTAAAAGCAATCATGGATGGAGAAGTTGGTGCATTGCTCAGATTTAATGTTACAGTGATTGACATGTTTTATTTGTTCTTCACTTGACAGGTTTGTGCCGCAAATTTTGGGGATATTTGTAGCGTTGTTGGGGGAGAAGCAACAGAAGGATTACTGGTATGTCTTCCTTCTTTTTGCTTGTGTTAGTTATTAACACATTTTGATAGAATTGCAAACACTTATTAGTCATATTAGTCTTGTTGGAGCTTGCTTAGTCCTGCTGAATGGTCACTGTTATGAGTTTATGTGGAAGCTATGTGATATTGCCTTGGACTTGACTGACCTCCACTTGTTGTTGAACCACTCTATGGTGTGACTGTGCCTTGGTGTCTGAATCAACTGTCAGGCTTGTCTTGTCTGAATACATTTTTCTAACCTGATTGGATTGTGTGTGATGACATGCCACTGGAACGAATTGAAATGCTTGTTAGGTTTAGGATATTGTTGGGGGTTGGGGTGGCGATTTCCCTTTCCAAGTGTAGCCTCATTGTTTTTCCTTTTTTCCTGCATGTCTCTCTTCCTGTGCAGCTGCCTCGGTTTTTCCAGCTCTGCTCAGATAATGTGTGGGGGGTGAGGAAGGCCTGTGCAGAGTGCTTCATGACTGTGTCCTCAGCAACCTCTCAGGAAGTGCGCAGGACCAAACTCTCGTCGCTTTTCATCAACCTCATCAGTGATCCCTCCCGCTGGGTGCGTGACTTCCTGCTCCCCTGGGCAGCTCATTCCAGGATGTTTGTTTGGATTTGAATTGGAACGGGCAGACTGGTTTGTTTGTTTGTTTGTTTAGATAAATATGGAATTCATTTCAGGCATTAGGGGTGGGAATCTCTAAGCACCTCACGATTCGATTACGATTCAGAGAGCTGCGATGTGATTATAAAACGATTATCGATGCATCTTTTTCTTCTATATAGCATTTATATTTTCTCACTGTGTCAGCTCAAGTTTCGAGTTCAAGTTTCAAGTTTGTCACTTGCACATGTCAGGACATTTATGCATTGAAATGCTTGTGCTGAGGCTCAGCTAATCACTCTACAGAAAGTAAATAAGTAAAAATAAAAATACAAGAAAAACCAACTGAAATATATTAAATATACACAAAATACACACAGAATATAGAGACAATATACATTTTAAAGGGGGGGATCGCCGCGTCAGTAAAGTAAAACCTTTGAGAAGGGACGTTTGCAACATGGCGCGAAAGCCCTGTTTCGCAATGACTGAGAACCGGCATGCAGACTGCAGGTCACATAGCAACAATGCGTTATTCGCATTTATAAGCAGCGCTGTTGGTTTCCTGGTAAGTTAAATCTGCAATGAGAGACTGTCACACACTAAAAAGTGGCGAAGCTGAAGACAGCTTCTCTTTCGAATTCTCCCGTTCCACCTTAAATGGTGCCGCATTTTCATTTGGCGCCTCAGTTAGAATTTGAGGTGGAAGAAGCTGGAGAATAAGACGTGACTCCAGCCTCGTAAAACAGTCGAACGTTGAGAGACATTTAACTGATCCAGAAGGAGCCGATCGGATTTCTCACTCATCCAGTAGTGTTTTTGTTATGTGCCGCCACAGACTGTCCGGGCGCTGCACTTCCGCACTTCCAAGTTCCGCCTTTTGCGTTCCGTCAACATTACGTAATAAATTAAATATTTAGAAAATCGATTTTTGACATTTGTGAATCGATTCAGAATTGTTCACGTCCGCATCGCGATGCATCCAAGAATCGATTTTTTTCCCGCACCCCTATCGGGCATGTTATTTAAAGATCAGCAAAGCAAGTTTATAAATTTTATACATTTCAGAACTGGTTTGATCGCTGCTGTATTGTTTGTTTGTCTGCCTAATGCTGTATGTGCAGTGTTAATTGTTGGCTACATTTAATAAATAGATAATTACTCCCTGCAATGTGGCCATCAGGTGCGGCAGGCTGCGTTCCAGTCTTTGGGCCAATTCATCTCCACGTTTGCCTGCCCAACAACTAATGTGGGCCAATACTTCAGAGAGGGGGCAGAGGAGGCCGACTGGAGCGGCCAGCAGTCACACAAGCAGTAAGAATTGTCTTCTATAGACGTGACTGTTTTTTTTTGGGCTAAAGTTTGCATAGCCTCAGCATTAATTGGTTGTTTTCTCCAGGGCTGCTGAGAAATCCTTAAACACTACTGCACCTTTCTGCGGACTGCCCCCCGACCTCTTCCACAGTGGACAATGCTCAGAGGCTCCTACATGAGCAAACTGCTGTCTCCCCACAGCAGGACTGCATTTCCCAGAATCCTCCCTGTACTCAGGAGCACTGTGAGGGTCAGCTGTGCAGATCGGAGCGGGAGGGTGTGGATGTAGCTGTAGAGGGGGGAGGAGAGCAGGTTGCTGATGCTTTGCCTCTGGACGAGTCCTGCTGCGATGTTGACTCGGAGAGGTCCAGCCCAAAGTGCCTTTCTGGGCCAGGTGATATAGACCCAGGTCCAGTTGGGGAGGAACATCAGTCTTTGCCAGTAGGAAACTCCACAGCACAAGAAAGCTACTCAAACTCTGAAGTCCCTAATGCAGAGGCTCCCACGCCCCCAACCCAGGCCACCACTGAGGGTGACCCACAGGAGAAGGTCTCTGCTTCTGCTGTAGATCCAAGTTCAGAGGTTAACTCCCCTCCGGTATCATGCCCTGAGGCAGAGAAAGTGGAGATTCCAGAGCAGGAGCTGTATAACTCCTTTCACTACTGGAGGACACCCATTCCACAGATAGACCTTGACCTGGAGCTTTTGGAGCAGCAGTGCAACAAAAGTGGTGAGGTCTCTAGTAATAGCCCCTCTTCCCAGGTTTCCACACCTGCTTTGGGCAGGAAGCAACTAGAGGAGCTCATTGAGAACTTGGAGCCCCACATCGATGACCCTGATGTGAAAGGTGAGTGAGGCAGTCATTATTGTTGTTAGTTTTAGTGGATTTTATGATTGCCTCACTGTTGGCTCATAGATGGGTCTGATTTTTTTAAAAATATTTTAATTCTCATGGGGGAAAAAAAAAGTTGATTAGTAAATTTGTGATTTTATTTTTATTATTTATTTTTTTTTTATGTATATACAAAGCTTCTGTCCAACATTATACATTCATATTTAAGAAACATTAGATCTTCAGTCTCCACTGGAGGAAAATGAAGAGCCTGCATTTTGTTTTAAATAGAGTCTCTTATCTGTTTCATCTAAAGAAGGAAACACAGAAAGGCTGCTACAGCCAGCTAAGGCCTACCGCGCACTGGACGATAAGTGCTGTGCTGCATTACCATAGGGTCTGTGGCACAGGGTAGCAAATGGTACAAAGCGCAAGTGTTGCAGAAAAGCTCTGATAAACATCAAGCCCAAATTGATTTGACCCTCTGCTCATATAGATTAAATGGGGGGGGAGGGGAATCATAGCAAGTTAAAAGCTAAAAGCTATGATGTGACTGAGTGAGTCATGTTGGCAAAGGTGAAAACAGGCACTTAGCATTTATCTGTGTCTTAAAGACTGCAGATGGACACCACGCTTGATCTGAATTTTGGTTTTAATATAGTACAACAGTAGTAAGATGGTGTGTGTGTGTGTGTGTGTGTGTGTGTGTGTGTGTGTGTGTGTGTGTGTGTGTGGGGTAGCCTGTAGTTGTAAGAGCCCTTTGCCTTTTTTCAAATAATACGAATTCGAATATCGAATTTGACTGAAATGCTCATCCTCATTGGTTAGAATATCGCTGTCCTTCACATGTTTTTCCTTGCTCTAAAGTATCCACTCCAGCTTGGGCTGGGTTTCCCAAAAAAGAAGCATGACGATTTAAGGTGATTCAACGCCAAGATGCTTTAGGGAAACTTGGCCCAGGACACTAATTTGCTCATATGTTGGATCAGAAATAACACCAGATTTTGCAGGGCAAGGGTGTTCCAAGATCAGAGCTGGGAACCACTGCACTAGAAACGTTTTACTGAGCATTTTACTGAAACTGTGATGAACACAGTGCAAAGCAAAACATGATGGTAAGCTGGAGGATTTAGCTTATGCTGTGCATTAAGCCATAAAGTTCTTGTTGTCTTGCACTAGTGTTTTGTAACTCACCCTAACCCTCAAGTATCAGCACCTTTTTGTTGGTTATTTCAGCACTTAAAATTTTATAATTGATTAAGTCAGTTTAAACATTTAATGTAGAAAAACAATCCAGAGCAGACGCATCTTGCATGCGTGCCACAACAGAGGCTTTTAAAGAATGGTTTGACTCAACATCTCAAATTTCTCTTAGATACTTGAGGATTCAGATTTGCGTTTTAAGTGCTTTATAAACATGCCCCTTTTAAAAAATACATTGGCTATGCTTTGTGGACTGTTGACTGCTTGAATGTACACAACATGGCCTATTAAATGGTTTTATTCCTGATGCAGTGTTTGAGACGGTACATGTTTGTTTACTACAATTGAACGGACTGTGCAAGTTATGGTCATCGGTCTGTGTAATGGATTTCAAAAACAGTTCCTCTTCAGGGACTTAAAGTGGTCAGGGCAGTCAGGCTCTTATGCTTTTGTTTCTGGTGGAAGGAAATGAGCTCGGGAAATTGGGCAAACAGTGAATAGAAAAGGGTGTGTTAGAAAATGTTGAGAACAGTGTGACAGCACAGCCATGATTTAACTTGATATAGATTGTGTATAAAATATGACACAAGCAATTTATTTAATTTATTTAGTGCATGCTACTAGAAATGATAATGTCATTTTAATTAGATTTAATGTGAAACCTAAAATAAAAGATGCAACACACAAAATATCAATTGTAAAACATTTCTGAGATCTTATTGGCTGAGCCATGTTCAGAGCCATTGTAATCTTTATTATATGCAAACTAATAAGGGCACACATCAACTGAATTTTGTATTAATGCGCTGGGATATTTAAATGTTCCATGTGTGGAACGTTATTTAAATGATATTTAAATGTTTCTTTTATGGTCCTTGAATGTAGCAAAGTACTGATACTCGGGAATAAACTTAGACATGTAGTGTAGTTTTAGCAAAGGGGCTGCAATTGTAATATGTTCATTACATGACTGGAAACTGAGAAGTTCTATGTTGTAAAGTTAAATTTACTGTACATTACTAGTTCATGTTAATTCCATAATAATAGTAATAATAAGTTTTTTGGGGTTGTTTTTTGGTTTAGTAAATAAGTTGTTTTATTTATTGGTTAACAATTAACCAGTGAATCATTTACATCCCTGACACTCTTCTTAAACTACTGTCCCTTCATAGTTTTGCATAGTGAAGATTTGTATCTGTCTGAAGATGAAAGCATAATGTTGCACAATAACACGTACATTGCATACCTGTGTGTGACTAACACAGATCCCTTCTTGTTATATCACAGGTTTCTTTGCACACTCATAGGTAGCATGGGTCTGTTCAGACCTGCGTTTACAGCATCAACCCATAAGCCTGCATAACAGACTGAATTCCTGACTTCAGTAGTCTGTTCAGTCTCTGATCCTACTATATCCATAAGAATGTACTGCATCTGGAACGTACCATCCAGATCAACTTACTTCAGGAAATGCAATTTGAAGAGCATTTCACAGAACTGTTTGCATTCAGATATATTTGACTGCGGTGTAATTTAGTCATGTTTAGTTTAAAACCAAATTCCAAAAAAGTTGGGGTCGTATATGAAATGCAGATAAAAAACAGAAAATGATTTTTACTTGATGATTGTACTTTGACTTGTATCTGAATGATAAAAGGACAAAGATGTAATGTTCTATCTTAACAATTTCATTGTGTTTTTTTTGGTCACCATACACTCATTCTGAAATAATTCCTGCAAAATGTTCTGAAGAAGTTGGGACCGGAGCAATTTAAGACTTAGAACAATATTCGAAAAACATCCTGAACAGGTGATAAAGTCATTTTTGGGTATAAAAGGAGCATCTAGGAAAGGCCTAGTTCTTCATAAGCAAGGATCGAGGCTTGCCACTTTGCCAAAAATGCATCAGCAAAAATCCAAAAGTTTAAAAATAATGTTTCTTACCCAGAGATTGTAAGGATTTTAAGTATTTCATCATTCAGTGCATATCATCATCATCATCAGTTGATTTCAGGGAATCTGGAGAAATCTCATGCTCCTTTCCAAGCTTTTTGGAACATTGTGAATGAACATATATTTACATAAAGGAATGATGTTCATAAGATGAAATATATATATATATATATATATATATATATATATATATATATATATATATAATATATTTTGCGCTTCCAATTTAATACAGGTCAAACAGAATTTACTGATCACTGCTTTATGTTGTTATAAGCGTTCCACATACTGTCAGCTAATTTGGAATTGGGTTTTTTTACTTTATTTAAATGTTATTGACGTTATGTTTGAGCAGTGAAATTCATTCAGCATCCCTAATGTTCATCTGCCATTTGGTTTGTATGTTTTACAGCACAAGTAGATGTGTTAACTGCTGCTCTGAGAGCCACTTCTTTGGATTCTCACCTTGAGGAGGCGTTCCTGGAGCCCAGACAGGCCCATGACAACCCCTTCGGCTCTCGCCATGTCCCTCTCATTGACTCTTCTGATGTAGAGGTACAAACAGGACTGCTGGTCTAAGATCAGTCTTTACTTCTCAAATTTTAATCTACATGATCGTATAGGTGAATGCTGGGTCTACTAGGTGTTTAATTGTAATTCTCATTTGTACTTAAATCTATTAGTACACTCCCCTATTTCAGATACAGCCAGGTAGCAGGATTGTTGAATTGCATCATGCATCTGTGAATGTATGGTGTTTGTGTATTTCAGAGCCGAGACTCCACCTTACCAATGAGTCACGGTGATGAGTCAGAGTTAAGTGACGGTAGCAGTCCAGAGGAGGAGAAAAAATCCAAACAACAGGTAAAGCATTCACAAGGATAAATAATTTAGTCCAAACTACAGGTAAAACAGAGCTGAAGTGTTTTTTTTTTTTCCGATCCAAGCAATAATGTAAGATGCCCGTTTTATGGTTTTCTGTTCTGAAGGAAACATCACAGTTGAATTATTACACAATGTTTAATTCTACATTTCTAATTAATTTTGTATGCCTTTTATGTTTGGCTTAAAGTCATGACTGTTCCAGCGTGCTACATTACAACACATTGTTTTCACACTGTGTACTCTAGGCTATGTTGTTAATTTGCTTGTCAGGAATGTTTACAAGCATTTGCGAAGATCTGCTGACAGGCAAGTGTTAACATGCTTCTTGTCTCTGTGGCATTCTGCAGGATGTGGTCCCTCAAGCTCTGTTAGATCAGTACCTGTCTATGACGGACCCCTCCCGGGCTCAGACAGTGGATATGGAGATTGCCAAGCACTGTGCCTACAGTCTGCCAGGCGTGGCTCTCACACTAGGCCGCCAGAACTGGCACTGCCTCAGAGACACCTTTGAGACACTGGCCTCTGATATGCAGGTGCCTTAAGACACCACACCACAACACAACTACGACACCTTCACAATGTACTTGTGCTCCTGTCAGGTCATAGATTTTGCTTTCTTTATGCTTTCCTTTAGAGTCATTTGAATCATGGGAGATTATTTCATTCTTTTTCATATTTCTTTTTCTTAGTAAATTTTAGCGCTGACCTGAATAATTATTGAAGTGGTCAAGTGTTTGTTCGTTTCCTTATTTAGTATTTGGAAGTTTCATCTTTTGACCACCAGAATTCTGGAACACTCTTGTGGAATTTTCAGATTGAGGCCAATTCAGGAAAAAAATAAGTACTTAACGATGGATATTAGGCTACAGAAAATCACTACAAAAATAATGTTGGCTTTAGGCTGAATACAGCCAGACTCAGTCACCCCTGAAGAAAGATAAGTGAGTGAAATATATTAAATAGCAAAGTTTAAACAAAGAGAAATAGCCTAACACAACACAAAGACAAACAGAGACAGCAAGCTAACGAGTCCTAGAAGTCATGGATGGCTGTACACTTAGACGACTTTAAAGTAAATAACTCCTCAAGCCTGAGTGAGATTTGCTTGTCTGCCGAAAGTTATTTCACTCACAATGGAACTTGAACATGGACCACAAAGTTAGCAAAGGAATATGAACTTGTCATGGTTCAGTAAACCTGACTATAAAACCCCATCTCTAAACAAATATTTTAAAAGATTTACATCTTGAACTTAGTTTTGTATCATCTCTGTTATCAAGGTAAGCGAAAATTCCTGTCGGACTCGTCTGTCTCTTTCTTTCTGTGACATAATGTCACAGCGCATCTGTCTGTCTGCATCTTTGGGACATCCATAGTACAAAGGGACTTATAAACATGTAAACTGTTTGTCACTGGTCAAAAACAGATGAAATTTTTGTCAGTTATAAAATGTAAATGTTATTATTTTTGAGGTTAGTGTTGAGAACAAGTATTCAATTACTCGTTTGGAAACGCAGAATATTCAAAGCCTTTAAAGTGCTGTTCGGCCTGCCCTAGTAAATTTTGAGCCTTGTTTTAAGTTGGTACCCAGAATTATGGGCATGCAAGAAGATCCTTTTGTCTCCTGTTATCTTTTTCATTTGTCCGTCTGGCAGCTGAGGAAGGTGGGGCTGGTCTCACGTAGAGAAGCTGTGCACTGGGTCAGGGTATATCATGTTAATTTTGACTGCTTGTTGAGCTCATATCCATTGCTGGTGTCCTGTTTGGATTTGCAAGCCCAGTGTGCTCCCTTTAGTGTGGAATTTACTAGACTGTGACTGACTGGGGTCTTCTTTTATTATCCCAATTCCCTGCCTTTCACTATACCACACGGAGAGCCTGATTAATTGTGATCCTGCTGACATTAAGGCAGCTATGTCAGCCTCATTCTGGGTCTCTACTTTTGATTGTAGTCTATTGCATAGTGTTCTCTCACCTTGCTGAGATTTACTTTATACATTTTGTTTGACATTTTTGGGCATGCACCATTCTTATATATAGAAACATTCTTGTATTAAGACTTATGTGCCATGAGAGCTTAGAAGAAACTGTTTCTGTTGCTTCTCTAGCTTAATAGAGAATTGGCACAATGCACTTACCTGCTACTGGGTTACTGGGCTACTGGACTAAAGGCTGCATATATTTTTTATGGCGGTAAGGGAAAGGCAGCGAGTATATTTTTGTCACGTCAAGAAGAAGTACAATGGCCATTAGTACCATATCTTTTCAAGATAGAGAACACTTATTTCCTGATTTTGAAATGAAAGTGCTGTAGGATCTGCTGCTGAAATGAAAGTTTTTAAAACTGCAAGATGAAGCAAGATGTTTTGTGGAACATACATGCGGCCTTTATCTTGGTGTGCATGTAATGCTTTTCTCTCAGCAGGTCAGTGAATAGATACATTTTGAAATAATAATATTTTTGGGTCACATTTCTCTTTATTCATAAATGAGAACATGCCTAATGTCCAGAGCAGTCGTTTTCAAAAGTCTGTCACTTCTGAAACTGCTGTTGGTCTTTTGGCAAGTTTGAGAAACCTGTTTGAGAGACCTGGGCTATTGGACTCTACAAAGTGGCCGCTGATGGTTAGGATGATGATTAGGAATTAAAAAAGGATGTTGTCTTTTGTTTAGTTTTATTATTAAAATTAAAATATTAATATATTTTTCCTCACTTTTTATTCTTCCTTACTTTTACTTCTCTCTCTCTCTCCTTCTTCCCCCTTTTCTTCTCTGATCATTTTACCCATTGCTTGCTGCTTCTTATATTGTCTCTCAGTGGAAGGTGCGGCGGACTCTGGCCTTCTCCATACATGAATTGGCACTAATTTTAGGTGACCAGCTAACTGCTGAGGACCTGGTGCCTATTTTCAACGGCTTCCTAAAGGACCTGGACGAGGTGCGCATAGGAGTCCTCAGACACCTCTATGACTTCCTCAAGGTTGGTCAGCACTTCAGATGTTGCTGTGTTAGCAGTCAGTCAATGACATTTACCTGCTCAGTTCAGTTGTTTTGTCTCACCTTTGTTTTGCAAAGCTTAGTTTCACTTCTCAAAGAGCTCTCTCCCACAAACACACTAAATTACACAGGTATTAACTCAGCACATTTCTTTTCTGTTCCTCTTTTAGCTGCTGCATCAGGAAACTAGGCGGAAGTACCTGTACCAACTGCAGGAGTTCCTGGTCACAGACAACAGCCGGAACTGGAGATTCAGATCAGAGCTAGCAGAGTATTACTTTTATGGCAATTAGTTTTCTATTATAGCCCAGTAATCTCATTCACCAACAGTTATTTTCCCAGTAAACGGAAAGGCACTCTACAACTGCAGTAGCACTTGTTGTTCATAGTGTTTGATTGTTTGCTTTCTTGCAGCGCTTTTGTTTTCCAACATTCTTTAAGCTGATTAGCTGTCACAAGCGATACCCATGCTGCTTTTAAACTGCACTCCTGCCACCATACAAATTGCAGTACACTCCTAATCACTGTAACCTTTTATTCTGGCTTTGCGCAGCAAGCAGTGCCACACTACAGCAAGTTTTAACACTTCAGAATAGAGCTGAACAATTATTCGTTTTTGTTTTGAAATCGCAGTTTGAAAGAGTGCAGTTTTCAAATTGCAAGAGCTGTAGTTTTACTTGTATCTTACATTATTTCAACACTGTCTTAAGTGTCAAATGGGGAAATTTAACCTAATAATGCAGAACTTGTGAACTGGTGGTTTGGCACACTACAGTCAGCAAGCGTGAAGTCTAAAAAATGGATGTGCTTATCTTCTTTAAAATTGCAGTGCTGGTCAGAACAAATTCTGCAAATTGTTCAGCCCTATTTCAGACCTTTTTTTTCAGCAAGGGACATGCTAGTGGTATCTAGCTAGAAACACGCTTTTTGGCTGTGATTTGCTAGAAAAAAAAAGACATCTAAGGAGGGCTGATTGCAAAGTAGTGGCTCTATGAACCTATTGACAAATTTTCTTGGCTTCATGTGTCTCACTCGATCTGATTTAACAAGTTTTTTGACCACTGCTGTATGCAATGTCAAAATATGATGTCAAATTTATTTGTATATGTGCCATGTTATTGTACAGATTGTTGTGTTTGTGTGTATTGTGTCTGACAGGCAGCTAGTCTTGCTGTTGGAGCTGTATAGTGGGCAGGATGTGTTTGATTACCTGAGACCTCTGGCATTCTGCCTCTGCACAGACAGAGTCTCCTCAGTACGGTGGACCTCCTACCGACTGGTATGCATGGCCGAACAATACACAGCGCATTCTGCTTCTCCAGTGTTTTGTTTGTATTTGAAGGGCATTTCCTTTTTCTCAAATTTGTGGCTCCTTAGCTGTAACATTATTGTTACCTGGACATCCAGACTGCATAACTGAAACACAAATACACTCTCACTTAAAATTGCTCTTAAAAGTTTCTACAAAGGTTATACATGTGAATAAAATCATAGTGCTGCATGTCCGTTTATTTTTCTCTGTTCAGGTCAGTGAGATTATTAGGAAGCTTTCCACATGCCCTGCACTGCTAGTGGATTTCCTTGGCGAGTTAGTGGATAAATTCTGTCACTCTCCAAAATGGTCAGGGCGCCAGGCTTTTGCCTTCGTGTGTCAGGTAAGGACAAATAATTATACTACCTCACTGTCGTAAAGCAGTGATTATACCAAAATTAGGAACAAGCTTTTTAATGGAAAAAAAAAAATCAGATTTCAAATAACTGCTCCTCTGTCACCTTGTAATGTTTTGTGTTTGTTTCTACATTATTAAACATGCCCTGTATTAAACCATACACCTCACTGAACACTTGAGCCTTGGAAAACAACCGGTTAACAATGGTTGAAATTGGAGTGTTCCTGCCATATGGTCAGTGCAGAGGAGTTTTTGCTTTCTTCACTCTGATGTCCCCTACCAGCAACCTGCCACAGGCTCAGGTTATTACAGCAAAAATAACAGCCTCTGTTTGCAAGGACAGCCATATGAAGTGTTCTTGGAGGTTTTTGTATCTCTGTCTCTCCATCTGGTACAATAACCGGAGAGTCTTTTTATGCTCACCTTTCTTCCCTCACAATCTCTCCCTTTTTTCCCTATTTTTACACACTTGCTTTCTTTAGCTTGCTATAGAGGAGGACTGTGTCGCATTGGAGCAGTTTTCAGAGCACCTGCTGGCTCCTCTGCTGCAGCTGGCATCTGACCCCGTGCCCAACGTCCGTGTGCTGCTGGCCAAGACCTTGCGCCAGAGCCTGATGGAGCGAGGTTAGACACAGTCTATTCAGTAGTTTCATAGAGTAAATTGTCTTTAGCGATAGCAAAAGTGAGGAATGGGGAGGAAGAGAAGTACTTAGTGCTAAATGTAGTCAAACATGATTTTGGTCTACAGTTAAATGTAATGGTTGGTACCATGGGCACAGATAAAGACTAGTGTGGTGCTTAATGAAGCTGCTTAGTTGAAAATCCAGGTCTAGGCTTCTGTGCTTGAGGAAAAACAATTTTTCAAAATTTACATAACTAAGTGGTTCATCTGTTGTCATTCAGAGTGATGTGAAAGGTGCCGTCCTAGAGAAACTTACAGACTCAGAATTGGTCACAGTAGTGGTGATAGGAACCAGACATCCAAAGCTTTGATGCCTCTTCAAGCTACCTCACAGAAAGTTATGTGAAGTGGTTATGAAAACTGGTCATTGTCGATTAAAAAAGAATGGCTATTGCGTTGTAGGTACAACAACTCCAGGTATCCTTTGTTTAATTACACATACATTTTGAAAAATCGATGGAATTGCCCTTTAATCCCAAAAGAACACTTCCTACTATATACACTGTATTCACAGTAAAGGTATATTTGATGATAACGTCTTTCTTGTCTTTTGTAGAATATTTCCTACACTCAGCCAACTCGCACCAAGAGGCTCTGGAGCAGACCCTAGTGGCTCTGCAGATGGACATGGACAAGGACGTCAAATATTTTGCCAGCGTGCACCCAGGAAGCACACGCATTAACGAGGATGCCATGAGCACCACTTCCTCCACCTACTGAGTGTGCACACACACACCACCCCCAGCTTCATGCTGGGTGATGGTCGAGGGGCATGGACTGACCTCTACCAAGGGCACAAAGACTGAGAAATATCTGCTCGGGGAACAGCTTCAACCAACTCTAATTCCCTTGAGAGCAGCTCACTACAACATTGTTTATGTGTGTTCTTTTTTGCCACAGAAGCCTTAAAAGTGTCTTCCTTAAAACCAGAGAATACTTGAATATCTGGAGCTGTCAAAACATCAACAAACTACAACAAATCAGTCAAAATGTCAACATATCTCAAAACCATGCAGTGGGTGACCTTGATCATCTTTCCCCTATTCTCCTTTCCTTCTGTAGTCTCATACTGATGGACCTTCATTTCTCTCCTCTGTAGCCGGACGCCAGTAATTCTCAGCTTCACAAAAACCTGTTAGCAGGAAAGACTGTAGCACCAAGCTGTTCCCTCATTTTATCTCCTTTATTTTTGTTTTGATACTGTACTGTGTGAACGACTCATATGCTGCAGATATATTCAAAGTGGAGAGTGTGTAACCGCCTCAGCCTTTTCTTCCCAGCGTGGTCTGGGAGCTGCCGATTGACGAAGCACGGTTTTTCAAGGGCTTGAGCCGCCATTGTTTTAAAGTCTAGTGCAGCACATTGTTGTACCCGTGGACACGGGGCTCCCCTGGCACACAGGGGTCCAGGTCCTAATGGAAAAACGAACTGTTGTATTTTTTAAACCAAAATGACGAGCGGTCCATTTAGCAGAGTATGTGGAAATTAAACATTGAATCAGTGTGGTTGTTGCACATCGCTTCAAACCCTGGGGTATTTTAAACATGAAAATTAAATGCTTCATCATGACCTACGCATCACCTGTACTGTACATATCTTTATCAACTGCTATTTTTTCCATTTTGATCAGTGATCATGAATAGAATTGTGATATAATGTTCTCTTAACCTGTCCAAAATAAAAGTTCAAATTCATTTGCTTGCATAGACTGGAGCTTTGTTTCTAACAATCCTGATTCTAAAGTCTGATTGGCTGAGCTGTGTCTGAAGCCACTATAAAATACTCAATAGATGCACATGACCACCTCACAACAACTGAATTCTGTATTACTCTGCCAAGTTACAAAAACTCTTTGTGCGGTAAATGAAATAATCTTTGTAATGCTGCTCAACTTGACCGCAAAGAGTACTGTTGAAGTAAGAACCCGGTTTTGTTTAAGTGAGGGGCTGAGAACTAATTTACTTAACTAGAACTAGGCAGGTAGCGAACAGACTTAAAGGTAGCAAACAGCTGAACAACTCAATGTCACAGGCTGAATGTCACTTAAATGTCTTCAAATGTCCAAGTCAGATCTGCCTTGTGTAGCGTCATGTGCTGTGTAAGTTCAGGTTTCTGCACCCAAAAGGTGCACTATTTGCCCAGCATGGAATTCTACACAAATGTCCCAAATGACTGTTTAGATATATTATATGTAGTTTTGGTGCTGGAGCCAATAATTTTATTCCTGAATAGGTAGCAATTTCATATTTAGGCCCGGCATGGGAAAAGTGACGTACAACAAGAGGCAGTTTACAAATTATAGTTCCAAAGAAGTTACAAATTCTCTGGTACAGCACCATTAGCTTGGTGCTTGGTCACTGAAAGATCTTGTCCTCTTTTAGCAGTCCATGGTTGCCTGGCAACAATATCATGCTCTAAATAAACGTATTAATTTAATTTACCTAGTAATTTATTTTAAAAACTGTGCATTTAATCATATTTTGTTATCCGCTGTTTTATGAAAGCAATACGATGCTTGAGGCCTTGTATAAGGTTTTAAGCACTCTGCTTCGCGTTGTATAGTTGGTCGTGCCTAATAACACCATTAACTGTGATAAAATCACTGTAACGGATGGCTTTCATGGCTTATTGATTTATTTGGTTACAGTATTTTGTAGCAATTAAAATTATGGGAAGACTTCTTTAATTGAAATTAAATTATTTTAGTAGACTCAGCGTTATAAAGAAAATGCTCTTTAAGTTCAGGATTGTAAATTTTGTGCTGACATTGAATCACATTCACTAAATAAACTCTGAAATCTCTATGTTGGCTGTAGAGGGCACTACATGCTCTGAATGATTCATACCTCCAATTCATATTTCAGTTGTTTTGTGTTTGATAGTGCTACAGTGTTGGTACTATTTAATGATTTAACACCTTAAAATCCCAGGCTTATTACATGTCGAGGCTTATTATTCAGTAACTACATGGACTACAATGCAAAGCCGGGTTATTCTTAGGTTATAGAAGTGTGTAGTAAAACCTCTGACCCACCAGTGGGTCTTGGCCATTAGTGGTGTTAATGTAAGGAAGATATACACACAAAGGCACAAACATAAATGCGTTTTATTACTGTTACTTCATTGTAAGAGCCAGTACAAGACACCTGCTATCTGAATGCGTCTGTGAAGCAAGCGCAGCCCACCATTCACTTGGTTTTCCCTGTTGGATTTTTTTTAAGGGTTTGTTATCAGAAATCCAAAGGAATTATATTGGAATGTGTCTCTGTCTTAAGGATACTTGATTTACAGTTCTTCTGTATGTCTTAAACCACCTTTACATCAGTCAGCAGTAATAAATAAAGGTATTTATTTCAACCCAAACGATACGCTGTGGCTTCCGTTTGAAAACAGTTCTTAATTACTGCTGACGAAACATGTAATGGTTAATTGGACCTATAGCAATAATGCTGACATGCAAGCTGGCTGTATGACAAACTCACTGATGCCAAAGAGCCTTTGTATGCTGGCTAGCAATGATGCCATGTGAAGCTCCCACCTGCTTCTAATGCCAAGACTGAGTGGTCATGTGACCTCACCCATCTCCTCCCAGGAGAGAAAGACTCCTTTGTGTGGCTTTGAATGCTATGCTGAGGGAGGAGACTGCATCACCCTCCAAATGAGCCCAACCATGGGTTATCTGACCCAGAATCCAGTCTCAGTCTCTAAAAAAAAGAAACGCAGAAGCATGAAAGTTCCTGGCTCCCTCCTCTTTTCTTTCTCTGTTCAGGGGATGTTGGGCTGACTGATTCAAGCACCTGCATACTGAAAGCATTGACACACAGAGGAAGGAAATACATAGGAATAGCTGTGATGACACTAGCCTGACTGAGGCAATCCGAATGATTAGACAAGAATACATGGTCAAATATTGTGCTTCATAACAGGAACGTATGACTTCACCTGACTAGATGTTGCAACCTCTGCTGCAAATTATGGTTATGTACAAAAAAGTTGGGACAATGTGTGAAATTCTAATGAAAAAAGAAAGCAGTGACTGGTTAATTCAGTTTGACCTGTTAAAACAATACAAAATGTAATATTGGATGTTCTACCTTATGAAATTGTATTTGTTGTAAATGTATGCTTATTCCAAGTTTTAAAACTGTTGAGACGGGAGCATGTTTACCACTGTGTTACACCACCTTTCCTTTTAACATCACTTAATAATCGTTTAGGGACTGATGCAGTTTTGAAAGTGGATTTTTTTTTGCCATTCTTCTGTTTTAAATCTTCAGCTGCTCAAGCATATGGGGCCTTTGTTATCATATTTTGGATTTCATAATGCACCACGTTTTCAATAGGTCTGCAGGCAAGCCAGTGTAGCTCCTGCACTCTCTGATTATGCAACTATGCTGTTGTAAGGGCTCTGTGTGGGCCAGTCAAGTTCTTCCACACCAAACTCGCCCAGCCATGCCTTTATGGACCTTGCTTTGTGCATTGGGTCACAGTCGTGCTGGAACAGAAAAGGGCCTTCACCAAACTGTTCCCACAAAGTTGGAAGCATAGAATTGTCCAAAATGTCTTGGTCTGTTGAAGCAGACTTCCCTTCACTGGAACTAAGGGTCTAGGCCAACCCCTGAAAAACAACCTCATAGCATTATCCCTCCTCCACCAAACCTTTACAGTTGGCACAATGCAGTCAGGCAGGTAATGTTCTCCTGGCATTCGCCAAACCCAGACTCATCCATCAGACTGCCAGATAGAGAAGCGTGACACTCCACAGAACACGTTTCCACTGCGCCAGAGTCCAGTGGTGACGTGCTCTACACCACTCCATCCAATGCCTGGCATTGTGCTTGGTGATGCAATGCTTGCATGCAGCTGCTTGGCCATGGAAACCCATGCGATGAAGCTCCCGGTGCACAGTTTTTGTGATGATGTCAGAGGAGGTTTTGAACTCTGCAGTTATTGATTCAGCAGCGCGTTGATGACTTTTATGCACTATGCTCCTCAGCACTCGGCGACCCGCTCTGTAACTTTACATGGTCTGACACTTCGTGGCTGAGTTGCTGTGTTTCCTAAACAATAAACAATATTACCACTCACAGTTGATCGTGGAATATGTAGGAGGGAAGTGGCATCCTATTACAGTACCACACTCAAATTCAGTGAGATCTTTAGAACGACCCATCCTTTCTCAAATGTTTGTAAAGGCAGACTGCATGGCTAGGTGCTTGATTTTATACACCTGAATTCAATGATGGTGTGTCCCAATGTTTTTGTCCATAAAGTGTTTTATTTGCAGTTTACATACTGTCAAAACTTTTTTTTGAAATGAGGTTTGTAGAAAAACCCCCTCTAAGCAGTTGTAAGAACATCTAAGTGTGAACCGATTTGGGTTCTATGCCACACTGATTTCTTGGCATTTCTCAGGGCCTTGAAGTCAATTCAGCTCCTTCAGAGTAGCAGTAAAGCAGCTCTCTGGGCCAAGCACTGTATGTGTTGAGATTTTAGAGCAGAAATTCTGACATATACCCAGCTCATGTCTTAATTATAGACTACCCACTGGTCCTCTCAGGCAAACTTTACAGTGTTACCCCAGAAGCATAACCAGAACCAAATGTTTCTTGTCTTTTAATAAGCATTATTGAAAGACAGAGAAAATGAAGGTGCAAGGTTCTTAGAGCAGCACCTTGGTCCATATGCATGAAATGCCTCAGGGTAAGAGTGGAAAAAAGCATCAGCTCCACATCCACACCCTGAGAAGTGTCATAAACATAACCTCTGGGCCTGCATGGAGAGGAATTTTTATGACTAAAAAATTCCATCAAATTACATAGGAAGAGAACTGGCGAAAACAATGGACTGTTAAAAGTTATGACATGCAAGATCACAGCTACTTGTTAGTTGAAATGCCTTGTAAAACTCTAGTTAAGGGGTCATATGGTATCCTTATTGACAGTCAACAGTTCACTACTTCAGTCTGTAACAGTATTTTGTATGGCAGCCCTCTCCTTACATTTTAAAAGCGTTTATTTGGCATAGCAGGTAGTACCACTTGAAGAGCAACTGGCTATGCAAGAATCTACATTCAAGGAAAGTATAAAAAAAGACAAATACCATATATATAATCTTTGCTAGGGACCTATGAAAAGAAGTGTAAAAGTTTAACACAAAGAGCAAAAAAAACAAGGGCTTGTAATTTACATGATTGTATCATCGTTTTTTTTCTCAGGTCAGCATCTCCTGAGCCTGTGGTCCAGTCATGGCGCCCTCCAGTGGTATGAGTGTCACCACCCACAGTCCTCTCAAAGGCATGTGAACAGCCCAGGTTCAGAAGAGGCAGTTCATACACTTTACTGCTTTGCTGCCGTAGTCGACACACTCGGGCCCGATGCACTCGCAGCATGCGTTGTGAAACCAGCGGTATTTCGAGCCCCCCATCGACTCGCAGTACTGCTTGCACTGACGGATCGACACACAGTCGTCAAAATACACCACAGTGCACATGTTGTCTGGGGGGGAGAGAGAGAGAGAGAGAGAGAGAGAATCATAAAGATATTCAAATAATGAGGCATATAAATATAATATTAATATAAAAAAACTATGAATACAATTATTTTTATTCAGTATTTCACATATTGTACTTTACTGAATCCAATCAAACTGTGCTAATTATGCTGTTTTTTTTATTATAAAATATGCAGTTGGTCACTGACTGTACCCACAAAATGATCAGAAAGGTATACAGTGATGTAATCTGAGATAATTTTAGTTTACAACAAATATCATTTTGCCCACCTCTACTCATAAATACACACTTTCAGATTTTTCCTTTTTTTTTGAAGCACTGAAATGTACTATGAGAATATTACAGAGCAACAGGACAACATAGAAAATGTCTAAATTATATTTATATATTTATATATTATATATTGCTACAAGTTGCAACTACAATTTAACTTACAATTTACTAAAAGCACATCTGTGAATCCTTGATATGTGGTTAATGATCAGTTTGCATTATTTGTGAGCAAAATTATTTAAGCATGCTGGATTACACTTAAGTTTAAATATTTTGAATTACTTGCCATATTAACATTTTTTATTTTATATACAATAATAACATACAATGTGGGTTTTAATATCACAAACTATTTGCTGCAAGGTATATGTAGATGTTTTAATTAATATTTCAAGAATTTTTTGAACATAGTTATTAAATGATCAAAATGATCAATTTACATTATTTTTATCTGCCTTGATATTTAATCACCACTTATATAAATATGATAATGTGGATATTAATTTTATTATAACAATTCTCAGTGTAATTCATGTTTCCCAGCCATTTTATACATTAATCCCAGACACATTTAAAAATTTTTTATTTTTATTTCCAGCATCCCACTCTGAAAAAAAAAATGCTTAGACAAGTAAAGCAGTATTTTTTTTACAGTAAGTAAATTTTGAGTTCAATGAACTTTAAATAATACGTTAGCAGAATGTAAAGCACAGATTTTTATTCTGTTAACTCATTATTAGAAGTTCTGTTTAACTGTGTAATTATCTAAAATACATGAAGGTGCACAGGACCATTTTATACACGGGTGTTCAACCAAAAAACTGTGAACTGAAAACAGTGATTGCAAACTTTTGAACAGTAATTCTAAATGTATGATGTTACAGGCATATAAAAGTACATATAAAAACTTTGACTATTCCAAACACCCACAAAAATTCATCTGTAGAGACTGTTCAAGATGTTCACAGCACACAATAAAAACATTTAGTGATGTGTTTAAAGGCTCATTTCTATATTGCAGCCTTTTGTAACAATATTCCAAAGGCCAATATCGCAATAACAATGAAACAACATAATCTGCCTGCATAATTTGCTTGCCCTGAACATCTGACTACTAAGACTGTACCCTTTATGTACAAGACATCAGTTGTGATTTGCTCATGAACTGAAACACCTCCATCATAATCTAATTAAAGGGTCAGATAATGCACCTTTAGAGGTCACTGCCCAGGAATTTGCTTCCCAGTGCATTAGGATAAGTACAGCAGTAGGCTTGAGAACTAGTGTAGCATGTAAACATGAGAAGCTCTGAACCCAGAAAACATGTAAAAGACCTGAGTAGACAATGGTGTACGTCAAAGGGAAACGTGATGTCTAATGGAAAAATGCCTGACGCTATACCTACCTTGACTGTTATCATAACTGGCGTGGATGCTGTTGCCAGGAAGAGAGATGTTCTGGTGCTGGTCCTCCATGGTCTCCAAGAAGGAGACTAGGTTCTCGTGATAAGAGAGCTCTTCAGCCACTGGAAAGGACACCACCATCATGTTGATGGGTGCTTCTCCTTCAGTAAGCGCTCTGAAGAGCGAGGGGATGGGTCTGTAGAGCTCCTCCACCGTACTCTTCGAGGTGGCGGGCGTGTCGCTGTAGTTCTTTGGATTGCACATGCCTGAGAGGGAGTTGGACAAAGTAAACACAGCTGTGATCAAAACACAGACACCCTCAAACTAGAAAGCACATGAGTATGAGCAGCATGTGGTGCATTCAAACTGCGATTGGGTTACACTACTCATTTTCCCCCGGAGGGGAAAGAGAATGAAAGAGATAAACATCTGTACATAAACAAAAAGTCTACGAAGTGCTGTAACACAGAGAAATTAATCAGAGAGCACTGGCATCATTTGCCATAGGTTTGTTTTAATGGTCTTGCAACAGCAAACATAATAAAAAGAAATGTAATACATCTACAATAGTGTGTCCCACAGTGCAGTGAAGCTCATGAAGTAAGTTCTTGGAGTCAATTCCAAAAACTTCACATTCTTTTGAAAATTGCTAGGTTCATGACCATTATGGAACTAGCAAGCGCCAGAAATATGTAGGAGAGGGAGCCAGACATTTATACAGGATATTGTTTCCGAAGGAAGAACCGACTCCTCACTTTGTAGTGCATTCCAAATTCTACAGCACCGTGATAAAAGGAATGGTTTGTTTTGTCCTCACACTCACCTACGCAGTCACAGCACTCCTCCCACAGTGTGCCCAGGCAAAGCATACACTCCTTACAGCACGAACAGTTGCCATCCGACGGCCTACACTGGCACAGCTCCTGTCAAACATATAGATATATATACTTAAATGCAGGAATCAATGGTAAAATGGTCTTTTAGTGTTGACTATTTTACTGTTAACAGTCCAAAAAAAAGCCACTTGATACTGATCTTGTCAAAAAAGGGAAAAGACCAGCATTGCTGAGCTCACCTCATATCCAGTTTCCTCATTTAGCCTGCAGCATGCATTCTAAGGCCTATTTAATTACGCTGCCTATTCTGTATTAGAACGCAACACTTCATCCGGCCATGCACCAAGAGAATGAACAGCCCCAAGAATCAGCTTCCTTAATAATCTAAGTGTAAACTTCCAAACAGTGTTGTTTGAGGCATGAAAATGCAGCAGTGTTCTGTGGTCAATTGCCATAATAACAATTTTTGTTATTTTGTAAATAATATTAACCTATACAATGTGGAATATGACAAACTATTTGTCAGAAGGTACAGCTCTGTAAACAGGAAGTTATTAAATATAAATTATTACCTGGAATTATTTACTCATTTCCAGTTTTTGTCATGTTATCTGCCTTAGGATTTGCTCTCCACTCTTGAAATATGATGAAATCTGGATATTAATTTTATTATAGCTTCATTTTTACAACTTTCTCAGTCATTTTAGAATCTTCTACTGCTCCATTCATCATTCTGGACACTTAAAAGTTCTTACTTTTTATTTACTTTGTAGTTTCCTAAAAGTCAAATTCTCAAGACAGGAAATATCACAGAATAAACAGAATAAATCTCTTTAGTGTAGTATTTTAGTCTTTATATGGATACTATATTAATAAATAAGCTATATAATACTAGAATAGGCATAGCAGGTTAATTTTTATATTAAATCCAAAACACACTACAGTTACGCCTTTGGCAAACAATATTATCCAGAGTAACAAAGTTTTAATCGCGTTACAGGGAGAAGTGAGTCTTGCCCAAGGACTCTTATGGGTGTAACATGGCTTTCTTGCTGAGCAGGGAATCAAACACCAAGCTCAATATTTTTACCCATTACACTTTAATCATGAAAAAAATATGTTTAATATTCTGAAGAGTAGGTTTAGATATTACCATTCAAAATGTAACATTTCAGCACAGTTCAGTTACCTAACTGGAGTTTAACTGTTACATTAACCTACCTTAAATTTCCAAAGATTTAAATGTCAAGAAAGATTTTTTTCCTTAGCTGAAACCAGTAACTGTAGAGGTGGGCAATATGGCAAAAATACAATGTATAATGTATAATAATTGTGATACTTCAAGAAAAGTTCACGACACAATTTTGTGTCATGTTATTCATATTCTTCAGACATCTGATCAGCTGGAACAGAGACAAAAGAAGCAGTTGTGCTACATTTAAAAAAAATGCTATCAAAAACTGTGAATACAATGACTTCATTCAATCTTTGGCATACTGTGTTGCACTAAATCCAGTTAAATGGGACTAATTTTGCTCTTTTTATAATGAAACATGCAGTTGGTCAGTGTTCTACAAGTACTGAAAATAAGTTCAGAAGAGCGTATTGTATTGCGACCTAGTTTATCATGATAACAATATATATTGTCATATTGCCCAGCCCAAACTGAAAGCACTGAAACAGTTCTTTCAAGTCAACAGAGGCAGTCTAATTTGAAATTACTCAAGTTTTCAGAACTCGGGTATTAAAAATGTTACATTTTGAATTTACATATCTAAAGAAAATCTGCTCTTCAAAGGATTAAACAATTAATTTCTTAATATCCACAACTGAAGTGATAATGCCGGCCCAAACTGTCACGTTTCTGCCAGGTCTAAGTTGGCTGATGTTAATTAAGTATGAGTGTGAGCCTGTAGTTCCTATAGAACAGCTCTGAGCTGATACTGATGGAGAGTGAGTGTAGACATTTTTCAAGTGAAGTGCACTTAGCTGATCCTGATGAAGTGTGAGTGTCGTGGTTTTGAAGTGCACTGCGCAACCTCAGGCTGCCTTTAGAACAGCAGGAGGAGCTCAGAGTAGAGGTCACATTCCAGATGTGCACAAAGACGCAGAAAAAGGCAGCCAAACCTCCACCGTGAACAACACAGAGCCTAGACAAGCATGGCTGCCTGCACACTGGAAGTCATTATAGCAATTTTAGCTTAAAATGACTGTTTTAGTGTGCTGAGGTCACTCGTGCACAGCTGACTTCAGGCTTTATGCTTCTTAAACTAAAGGAAGGAGCTGGGGAAACAGTTCCCTCCTAAAATGTATAAAGCTCAGAACACAAAAACCAAAAGATGTACATTACTTGATCAGATAATTTGCAGCAGGATTTGTAAAATTAAGATTTTATCTTAGACGATCTGAGAGAACATAGCATAAATATGATGGAGGCCAAATCCAAGTGCCTCCATAAATTCCACATTGAAGCTTTTATTGCCACAGGCTGTTAACTTAGCCTTCATATGGGGAAACTGTCTGAACAGCCACAGTACTAAACCACAACCCCACAAGCAATTAAAATGACTGAACAAAGCCTTAAAAGCACTGTTTCAAAAAAAGCAATGAAAAAGCAGGGATAACATTTTACAGCAAAACTTCTTACCTGGATCAGACACTTGCTGACATCACTAGCACATAAGGCTTTATTACAGGCAGCAGAAAAGGAGAGAACAGACAAGAGAAGCAGCAGTGTAGAGAAGAGGGAGACGTGTGCCTGGGTGGGCTGCATCCCGCCACGGACAAACCTCCTCCAGCCTGGATCAACTGAGGAATGAGCACAACAATCTTCTTAAAGCACTTGTAGAAGCCCCTATCAGCATTTACACAGAGAAACGCAAGGCAACGAAACAACCTTTATAGCCTAACAGCAGACCTTCACAGTGGCATCAGGAGGGGAAGAAACATTAAAGAGCCAACATCACAGAAAACATAACTTCCCTGACTTTTGTGAAAGAGTCTGATGTAGTGTATAAACATTGTTTTAAAACGTGCTGTTCACTTGCATGTTCACGCAGCAAATGTGTGGAAAATAAGCTGCAAAAACAGACTTGTTTTGAATTCAGTGTTTTTGTGATGTCACAAAAACACATGCACATATATCCACCTATTCAGAAAACAGCAACTTAGCCCCTCCCATTCACTTAGAAGCTATAAGAGGTGTTTCAGCCCGGACTGTTTTTTAAATGATCCACAATACAAGGCAGCCAAACAGAGCAGAGCTCATTTACATATGTCTTTTCTTAAAGGCACAGTAACATAACAGTCTGTTTAATTCAAAAGGATGGAGACAGACTGGAAACAGTCATGTAAATATTAATTATGACTATTCCTGGTACATAAAATTACAAAATGTTGTAAGTGGACCAAAAAAATAAAAAGCTAAACCAAAAGAAAAACGCAGGATATGGGCGCTTTAACACACAGGTGAAAAACAGACAGACAGACAGGCAGCACTTCACTCCCTCAGTGTTATGGTAATGAGGGGCGGCAGCATCAAAGCAGTGGGCAGAAGCTGTGCTAATCGAGCAGTGAAGTGTGAACCTGTGTACAAGCTCTCCGCACAGCCCTTACTCAGATTGTTCAGAGGAGAGAAACACAGAGAATAATGGCCATTTTCACAGTGAAGAGACAGACCCACTCTGGTTAAACAGTGCCTATAACCCGCGTAGACCCTCAGGAGAACTTCAAAGTGGCATCACGTGGAAAAGAGACGTTGATACACAGGTAAAAAAGAGACAAGAGACAACAGACAACAGACTGCACTTCCCTCCCTCAGTGTTATGCTAATAAGTCAAAACCAAAGCCCGCTTCGGTTAAACCTGCGCAGGCCGTTGGCAGCAGGAGCCCTTCAAATGTTAGATGTGATCTAATTTCAGTAATTCGTTCCTCCTGTTTGAGCCTCTCTAAGAGTTTTGACTGAGCCCTGCTCGCCTTTAGATACTCTGTTTATCATCAGTTTATCGCCCTGTCCTGTGGTAGGCTGTAAAAACTCTACTTTCTGGCCTTTTTAACACTCTGCTTACTGTAAAAGCGCAGAGAGTGAAGTCCTTCCTTCATGTGTATGAAAGGAGCAGAAGAAGAGAAGGAAAACTCCCTCGTTCGCTTCGGTTTTTCAAAGAATGCGGCCAAAAAGACAGATTAGAGAACTAAAAGGCTGACTTAAAACTCACCGTCACCAAAAGTGAAGCCTCTGTGAGATTTTTCGGGAGGTTATAAGCTGGTATCTTCTTGTTCCTCTTGTTTACTCTAACTTTTTTTTTGTCTAATTAAGGCATGTTCTGTGTCGATGGCGTGACTCGCTCAGCTCCTCCACACAAAGCGAGGCAGCAGCAGCAGCAGCTCGTCTTAAAGAGACAGACACACAGACTCAGACTCAGGTGAGCTCACACTCCACCTTTAACTCCACTGCGCAGCCCTGGCCTCGCGGGGCCCTCACAGAAATACTACACTGTCACTAGTTATTGTACCTGTAAGGGGATAACCAGAGTATCTTAAAGGGGATTTTTCTAATTTTTTGCATTATTTTTTATTAAGAGTTAAACAAAGTCGTTCAGAGTGGTTTGGAGTGAAATGCTCTGTTCTACAGAGTTTAACTGTTCACAGTGGTGGTGATAGGAACCAGACGACTGAAGAGTTTAGTGCCTGGAGCAGCTACATCACAAAGACTTATTACACAAAATGCTTTGCCTTCTTTTTAGATGAGGCATGGGGCAGCCAATCAGAACAGAGCTTATTTACATATATTAGTTTTAAAGGCACAGTAAGGAAAACAGCCTGTCCAGTTCTAAGGGATAAAGAGATTTTTAAAATGGACAAATATGAATTATGTTTCTATCTTTAGCTATATAAAGTCACACAAATGCCATAAATGGACCCCAGGGGGAAACATGGAATATAGGCAGTTTAACAATTGCCACACTGAAAAACAACAAAACAATAAAAGCTAGCAAAAGCAAAAGGTTTTATGATAGTTTTGTGATATGCAAAATCACGGTCACCATCCCCAGAGAATCCTTTTACCATCTTCAACATTGCATATAAAACTCAGAAGACATGTAGGTTCACTGGTTGTTTTGGATCATAAATAAAATGTCTATATTTCTGGTTCCTATCACTACTAGGAATTGAATTGTTCAGAAATGTTAAAAATTAGTGGAATTTCCCATTAGATGGAAAATCATGAAGAAAAGAATTTGCATTGCTTTTTGAATGAACATCTTTGGTGTTTAATTTTCAAAAGGCACCGTTTACTCTCCAGTTCATACAACCCTTATGTGGAAATAAAACAGCAAAATCAGCTTGTTCTAAATTCAGTGGTTTTGTGATGTGACAAAAAGCAGTGTATTTACATGTCTGTGATGTTGGGACAAAACCTTGTATCTCCAAAATAGTTCATTTACAGGAGAAGGAAAAACTTTCTTAATGTCACAAGTGGCATTTAAATCTATTTTGGAAAAAAATCTTGTATCAGTCTATTCAGCCTACAGCAGGTTTGAATTCATTCAAACACATGCACATATATCCACCTATTCAGACTACAGCAATTTGTCCCCGCCCATTAACGTAGAAGCTATAAGGAGTGTTTCAGCCCAGACTACTTTTTAAATGAGACACAGTAAAGGACAGCCAATCAGAACAGAGCTCATTTACATATATTAGTCTTAAAGGCACAGGAAGAAAAACGGCCTGTTCAATTCTAAGGGATGAAGAGATTTTGGAAATGCTCAAGTAAAAATGCATTATGTTTATATTAGAAGTATATCAAAGCACACAAATGCCATAAATTGACCCCAGGGGGAAAAAATAAATATAGGCAGTTTAACAATTGCCACACTGAAAAACAATAAAAATGGCAAAAGAAAAGAAAAATATTTAACACTTGACATAACTGTTGTATACTAAATGTAGTGAAAATGGGCTGAACATAAATGAAATGAATTCAGTGTATCCAGTGTCAGAAAAACATGAGTTGACAGGAAGGCAACAGGAAAACCGTCTAGCCTGCTATTGTTTTTATTATACTTTACAAACAGTGTTAAATGCAGATATGTAGAAGGGTGGAAAAAAAAGGCTACACAGGCTTTTTAATGAAAATGTTGTAAATATGTTTTATTTTGTAACCAGTATTTACAGAAATCTGAGTTTCTGGAATATCTTTTGTGATATAAAAGTAACTGTGATTAGGGCTGTTTAAATGCTGCTGCAATCACCATTCTTTCTGTAAATCAGATCTGAGTCATTACAGCGAAGTACTGTAGCTCAGGTGTGCTTTGAGTTCAGGGCTCTGAAGAAGTCTGTCGTGGGCAAGTTCTCCTCAACAGCTGTGTCACAGAGAGCAGGAGGGACGAAGGCCATGGGGTCCTGAATGCCAAGAAGTTGGTTGTAGAAACTGAGATTTGAAAAAGAAACAGGATTATCAGATGGTGTATAAGTGCTGTGAGAGTAAGGGTTCTGTTCATCGTTGATATTGTGTTTTATTAGTTAAAAAAGTAGAATGAGATTGTGACGAACCCCACAGTTACCCATCCAACGTCCTTAGTGTGGATCACAGCTGAGACTGGCAGGCAGGTGTAGTCAGTGAAGCTGAGCACATACTTGGCTGAAAAAGAGCACAAAAGTAGAAACATCTCAGATTTGTCTCACCCCTACATGAAAGGGCTTATATCCTTCAATTTCTTTGTATTGCTTTTTTTCCTCTGAGGTCCGCTTATGACCTTAGATACCAAAAAGTCATAATTCATTTAATAATAATAGTAATAATTAATTTTATCCCTTAAAATTAATCAGACTGTTTTTGCTACTGTGTGTTTATGTAATTTATGTAAACTATATGTATTTATGTAAATAAGCTCTGTTCTGATTGACTGCCATGAATTGTGTCTCATTCCAAAAGCAGTATACCTGAAATGTGAGTGGGAGTGACTGAACTCCTGTAGGCTAAATAGGTGAACATATGTAAAAGTCTTGATTTTTGTGACATCACAAAAACAATGAATTCAAAATCTTTTGGCAGCTCTTTTTGCAGCATATTGTTGCTGCGTCTAAGTGGAAGTAAGTTACAGGTCCTCTACAGAGAACACTGGGAAAAATAAAATGCAATATATCAGGGAAAAACATAAAATGTGACCTGTGTGAATGTTATGACATATGTTAAATTTCATATTTTATTTTTTCCAATATTTTAAACTTAGCAAATACATAGAAATTGTACACTATAATATGTTAACTTTTTCTGGCTCAACAAAACATGTCATTTGACCAGTTCAGGCTTTAGCACATGACTGTAAATGGACTGACTGTATGTAGAGCTTCATCAAGTAAAGCAGTTCAACTTTGAATTTCTGGGGAAAAAACAGCATTCAGTACTTAAACAGCCAGGCTGCAGTGATCTTACTTTTAAGTGGGCAGTCAAGTTTGTGGTCATATTTTTGTAAGTTAATATAAAAGCTTTCACTTTTTAATTGTATGGAACTCATCCATCACGGGTAGATGGTTAAATAGTCTTTCAAAATGAAAGATCCCATCTATAAGTGCAGCGACCACCATATTTCATACTGAGGAAATGGAGAAAAACAGTCATAAACCAAAATGAAGAAATACAGCAGTGAGTTGCATACACTGGACTTCATGTGCATGAGCCCTGAAAATGAGTATGTACAGCTTTGTACTGTTTGCTCAGAGGTCTTTTCAAATAAAGCTTTAAAATCCTTATTAGAGAAACCACCATAGACCAGCATTTGTTTGTGTTTTGGATGCCGGTGTGCTGGTCAGCAGCAATGGAAGTTAATATGCTCATCACCAGCAAAACCAGCAAATGTTGTATTTTGGATGCTGATATGCTGGTCAACCAGCATACTGGGTGACCAGCTAAACCAACACCAGACCAGCATAAATCAGCATAAACCATCTTAGACCAGCATGAAATGCATGCTGGTTTATGTTGTTTTTTTCAGGAAGCGCAACAATTTACACCACCACCTGGAGACTAAATATAGTCTATATATAGGTACCTAAACTTATCAAACTGCCAGTTTGCAGCTTTCTCATCTTCAGCCTGACATCCAGTACTCAGTAGCTGTCAAACAAGATAAGCTATCTTTTAAGGTGAGTCAGAAAAAATGATCTAATCTGTTAAATCTAATGGACTTCAGATGCTTTTGTGGTCGTTTGTGTGGGCCGCAAGTTGCAAAAGGTTTGGGAACCCCTGGTCTACTACTCAAAACCAACTGTTAAACCAGATGAAACCCACCAAAAATTATTAACTACAGTGCACATCAGGTTAACATTGATTTTTCTGTTTTTTAGTCTTATGGGAAATTAATGTTGCTTCCAAAAAGCATTTACTTCCTAATTTTCTTGGTTCTTTATAGAACCAAGAACACTCAAAGAACCCATTGCTGGATTAAAGGATTCTTTGCATTGTGAAATAGCTCTTCAGATCGAAGGATATTGTGCTGTAGATGGTTCTATATAGCACCAAAAAGGGTTCTGATATTGTTATAAGCTCGTATTTGAACCATTTTCTTTACTAAAGAACCCTTGAGGAACGATCTTTTTTAAGAGTGTATTAACTCACACCAGTGTGACTGAGGTACCTCAGTCCTCAACTCTTTATATCCCTCATTCCTACCTTTTGTCTCTGCGTCCTCTCCTTCCCAAGAAGTAATCTGCAGACCCATTTGAGGGATGGAAGTAGTTCCTAAAATGATTTCGCTGAGGAATTTTGCATTTGTAGGAATCCGCATGGGATGGAAGGAGCTTTTCATTGCAAACTTCTTACAGGTGGATCTGGCAGAATCAATCTCATACACAACACCCTGTAGAACAAAGGTTTTTGTTTGGTTCCACACACATTTTCAACACTATATGTCCAAAAGTATCCAGTCATCTTCTAAAGCTTGTATAATCTTCATAGAAAAGCTTTGCCAATATGATATTTTGCTCTGGAGCAGCTGAGCCTAAGATGCCTCATGATCAAATCAAGCTTCTTATTATGTTTTATTGAAAAACAGTGCTAATGAGTTACCTGCTTGAACTGCATGAGTAAGTCTACGGAGAACGTCCTGTTCCTGTATTCCCCATAGTCTTTGAAACGAATTTGCTCGCTTACAGCATCGTATGCATATTGTCCTGCAGACATGAGGGTGCCATCTTTCCCGGTCTATAGCGGTGTAAACATACAGAACGCCATTCATCATCTCAGAGCATGAGGACTTAAAGTTCTTAATTATCAAAATATGAAAACTCACCATTGCAATGCTTCCCACCAACAGTGGAGGCGACACTGAAACACAGGTATAAAACGACTTTAAATTTATTAACAGTTTGCAAATTTTTG